CCCCCCCCCCCCCCTACTTTACGGGTAGCGGATTGCGGAGTGCGGATTGCGGATTACGGATGCGGATTGCGGATGCGGATTGGGGATGCGGATTGCGGATGCGGATTGCGGATGCGGATTGCGGATTACGGATGCGGATGCGGATTGCGGATTGTGAACCCATGTAAATCATTTATTTCTTCGGAAAAAAGCCACAATAATTGCCTGTAGCTACTTGTAGCTATGCTATGCCCCCTAGGAAATGGCTATATATGTCTTGGTTATAACGGAGTATATCTGTGTTAGAATGAAGCAGCCGAATATTTCGACAATAAAGAATAAACCAAGTTTGAATAAAATGAAACACTCAGATTCAAACATTTCGTAAGTCACATCGCGTAACCTGAATATAAATCCAACTAAAATGTAGGCATTTTCATAAGCTTTCAAACCATCCGCGTTGGGGGTGTATGTCGTTAAATTTCGAATTAATATAAGCGGTTGAACCTCATGCCTAAAACCGGACATTATATTGTCCGACTAGAATGTGTATTCCGACGGCAATTTTTACACCCTCGTTTAGGCAACGCTCAATATTCTAGCTACAATATTACAGGTACAATAATTTTACGTAAATTGTCAGATAGCTGGTGAATTCAGCTACATTTTGGTACGAGCTATAATATTGTAGCTAGAATATTGAGCGAGAATTCGTTGCCTAAACATCTATTACATTTTCAAAATCTCGCCTTGCTGCGCATGTAAACACACGCATTTGAAGCTTTCAAAATATATAGTTATAAACCTTTAAAGACACAGTTGAAACGAAAACTTATTAAAATTGAAACGGCCTATTTTGAAAATAATGATTTTCTTGAAAATCCGCCATTGCCCATTGATTTTGCGTCCTTGTTTCACCAACACCGTATAATTATCAAAATCGAGTTTCAAATCAACAGTAATCAGTATTGATAAATAGTATTCACTATAAAAACTAATCTTCACTGTGTTTCCTCCAGAATATTAATTAAAATAAATAGAATATCATCAGCCTTGGCAGCCTTGCACAAAATCCGATTTCTTGAGGTTGTTTATTAACAACTTAAACATTTGTGTGATTAGGGTAAATAAACATCTATGTTCTACCTAATTTTTGCATGGGTTCACAATCCGCAATCCGCATCCGAATCCGCATCCGTAATCCGCATCCGTAATCCGCATCCGATCCGCATCCGAATCCGCATCCGATCCGCAATCCGCATCCGAATCCGCATCCGCAATCCGCATCCGCAATCCGCCGCAATCCGCATCCGCAATCCGTAATCCGCATCCGCAATCCGCATCCGCAATCCGCACTCCGCAATCCGCTACCCGTAAAGTCTACCATGCCCCACTGTTAGGTAATAAATATTGGTCAAACACCCCACCATTTTGCAATAAATTGCAATAAATACTATATTAATAAAAGTCAGTTTGGTTCAAATTGCCCTAACTCAGGCCCAAAATGCTAATCAAAATCCCCAGAGTGGGGATGCAATTGATGATCAAATACCCCACATATGCCCACCCCCTCTGGGGCTTGACATTGATAGGTGCAATTATATGCAGGGTTTTTTGTATTCTCACGTAATGTACCACAAAGTATCAGCAGCATGTTATGAGAAGCCCTGGTCCGGGCCGGTCAATTTTGCATTCTGATTGGCTAACACCATATTGTCTAAAAATAACTGAACTTGACAGTTGACAATAACAATTCAACATTTGTTTTTTTATGATTCTTATGTGTACGAGTATGTTTTGCAAAATAATCTTTCAAAATGAGACGTTTTCCTGACTGCATGATTTCGCCTCGGCCGGTTACAAAACTCAAAAGCCGTGTCGACGTGAGCTGAGACGCGAGCCTGACAAAACAAGAAACGTCTACTATTATTTGAGCCGTAGTTTTCCCTGTACAGTATTTATAATGTAGTGCAGATGTCTGATGAAATACTACGCGTATTGCATTGTAGTAATATTTTAATTTACAATATTCTGTACTGACAAATAAAAGCAAGACAAACAATTAAATGAAACTACTAAATTAATTTAGGCCCTGTTTACTTAATAGCTCTACGCCTTGGCCGATGTAGTCCCTACAAGATTCGTCACGCCACCGAGTTTCACAGTTCCATAATACCCCGAATACTTGAAAATTGCGACTATACGATAAAATAAAACAAAGATTGTGAAGGGGATAAAATTTGTAGGCAAGCATTGCTCCTGAACGGCAAGTGTTGGTGTCCGGCGAAACAAGCGAATCCCTATATTCCTGTACAGCGTAAACAGGTTACGCGAGGTTTTATATTTGTGTTTATTTATATTGAACTAAGTCAGATCTATAAGAGCGTATTTAAACTAAATATTAATTATAGCAATAGCCATATTGTTGAAGACGAGAGAAAGGAAATTTCGTGTGAATCACCACTTGCATGGAGACGCCTAGATGTAGCTTGGATGCAGCTTTGCCTGTAGTTGAAAATCTCCAGAAATATTGGTATATCTTCGAAAACATAGACGGGATTTTCATAGAGTTTAGCTGATTCGTGCCAAACTTCGCTCTACACATAAATAATATCGATTGAGAAGTCTTTTGGGTATTTATTTGTTCCGAAGACTTATATATTTCATTAAAGAATATCTCGCCACTCCTTGACGAGTAGCTGTCAAATACTGCCATTTTTGACGTCACGTGACCGGCCCGGACCAGGGCTTCCTCGTGTCTCGCCTCGTCCCACACTGAAGCCCTGGGAACGAGGTTGGATCTTAACTACACTCAATACGCGCCACAACAAGCACGCAGAAATAGGCAACGTAATATCACTTGGTTCAACCCACCATTCAGCATGAATGTCAGCACAAATATAGGGCGTAATTTTCTTAACCTTATCGACAAGCACTTTCCTTCGCACCACAAGCTGCACAAGATCTTTAACAGAAATACAGTAAAAGTAAGTTATAGCTGCTTGAGCAATGTTAAGTCTATAATCACTAAGCACAATGCACATATAGCTAGGAAGAACAAGGCACAGGGCAAGGGCACTGTCAATTGCATGCAGTTGTTCGAAAAACGCAATATGCCCACTTCAGAAACAATGCATGACTAAGGACATAGTATACAAAGCAACAGTCACAACAAGCAACCCTAACACGATCATGAATTATATTGGCATGACATCAACTACATTTAAAGAGCGTTTGGCTAACCATAACTATACTTTCGAGCATAAAGAGCACTCAAACAAAACTAAACTTTCGAAATATATTTGGACATTGAAAGATAACAAGAAAGATTTTAACATCAATTGGCAAATTTTGAAACGCGCTATTTCGTATACGGGAGGATCAAAACGATGTAATTTATGTTTAGAGGAAAAATTTTGTATTTTAAAAGAAAACCAAAACTGTTTACTCAATTACCGCCTGATGATTCTTTACCGATGAAGCAGACTGTTGCGGAATTTTGAGGTAAGCGAAATTCTACATTTGCTCTATCTTTATGATATTGTGCACTCTTTGCGTTTCGCATACACAAACCTACTCCTATATATATATATATATATATATATATATATATATATATATATATATATATATATATATATATATATATATATATATATATATATTATAAATCTAAAAACTGTAGATATCTGTTCACGTTTTTCTACAGTGTTTCATCATATGATAGCAGTGATATTCCACCATTTTGACGAGCTTGCAACCATGATGACGTCATAAATTAGCTATGTAACTATTAGGACAGGTACATACAATACTTTTGCTATTTTATTCTTAGTTACTGTGTAGGATAGTCATAAAACAATCTTGTTGGGTCCAAGATCAACCTTCATTGCTCTGTTGAGGGATTTTGCTGCACAACTTTCATAGTTGTCCACCGTGGATTTCCTTTCTGCACACCAATAAGACGAGAATCACATGGTCGATGAAATAGAGCTTCAGTCCTCTCATATACACGACACAAATATTTATTTTCGCCATCATCGGGATGATTAGATTTATCAAGTCCTCACAACAAGATGAATCAGTCAGTATAAAACAATTGTCCGGTTTCTTCAGACTGATTACTGCTTCTCAGGACTGCGGGATGGCACCATAGCTCTCACTTAGTCGTTTGGCTATCTGCGCAATCGGGTTCTTTCCAGACCGAACCAATCCTTTTAATTTCTACATGTAATTTTCGAATGGCAATGCACTGCATGAATCCAAGCTTGCATACTCCTGGACCTCATCAGCCAAATGTATCATGCTATACACATTATGCACTTGAAACTCATTGCCATATAAAACCTTCCCCTGCTCCACAAAGTATTCCATCAGTTGCTTAGCATACGGTCTATGAAGCAAAGCTAACCTAGGGCATATAAGTATGGAACTAGCAACGCTAAGGCATAAGAAGTGATCATATAGATCAAGCCTGTAGTATACCACTGAGAACTATCTGACCAGTTACACAAGAAATTGCCTATACTGCCTATACTCAGTTGCCTTCCACCTATCGATTTCTGCCATGCCTCTTGGTTTACGTGCAAAGAAACTTGGAACAAATGGTTTCAGACCAGTTAATCTATTACTGATCTCCTCGACCTGACCAGCTGACAATTTGACTTCCCGGCTACCTCTAATCCAAGTCAAAATCAACTTTCTTGTCACTCCCAAACACAGCTGGTGCATATAGTCGATAGGAAACTTTTTAATCATATCGATTGGTAAAGTACAAAAAGGACTCTCACTTAAATGATGTCCCTCATTAACCTGCTCCGGAAAGGAATAATCAGATCGCAAGTCAATATCCTTAATCAAAGGGTAAACTACTCTACCAACCCACGTGCCTTTTTGCGCACACTTCGCAATCAAAATACCCGGAGCATAATTTTGTACCTTTGACAAGTGCTCTTGCAGGAGCATCACACACAACACACCTGAAGCCGATGGTTTGTATTTTATAGCAACGTATTGTGCCCGACTTGGTTTCATATAAACATTATAACCACAAACTGTAATAAACAAATGTAGAGACTTATGTCAGCCTTACACAGGAATGCATGTTTCACTTTAACACTCTAAGCTGCTATGAAACCTCATGTGCCCTAACTTGCCTTTCTACTCTTGTCAATGCCAAAAGGTTCTCATCAAGGGAACAATCTTAAGTGTTATTTAATCAGCTAATATGTAGTTATAATGCTATACGGAATACTTGATGCATTATTGCATTGGTATAATTGCATGTTTATAATGATATACAGTACTGTAGGAAGATCTTTATGGTTGGGGGGCTGAAAGCGAGGGCCATGAAATCCCTCATGTGCCCTACTTTGCCTTTCTATACTCTTGTCAATGCCAAAAGGTTCTCATCAAGGGAACAATGTTAAGCGTTAATCAGTTAATATGTAGCTATAGCGCTATAAGGAATACTTGATGCATCATTGCATTCGTATAATTGCATGTTTATAATGATATACAGTGCCAGAGGAAGATCTTTATGGTTGGGGAGCTGAAAGCGAGGCCCAAAAGCCAGAGGAAATTTTTCAATTAGTAGTACTAAATGAGCGAAGGCATATTTAATTAACTATATATTGGATAAGTTCTAACAAAGTATGGGTAATATCTTCATACTTTTTGTCATGGATAATGTAGCCGCTTAAAATTAATAAATTGTTAGTACTATAATGGCATATTATTTAAATTGTAAAGGTCTGCATGATTTTGAAAAAAAGAATGATTATAAGCAAATTATGGGGGGGGGGCGGAGCCCGGTTGCTATGGCCCTAAATATAGAATTGTATCCAAAGGTTGCTACTAGTAGTTCCTTGGGTAAATGTGGTGTCAACTGTGTAGTTTAATGAATCATGGGAAATTTAATAATAATCTTGGGCATATTTTCATAAAAGTTGTACATTCCCCTTCTCTGAGGTAATTTGAACCCAAAAAATATTCAAAGTAACAAGCTACCACTTTTTCAAGGTGTTTACATTATCAAGTATTTTAAAAGCACATTATAAACTGTGAATAAACCATGTGGCGGCGGTCCAGTACACAACAGTAAAAATGGTACACAAACTGGTGCACAAACTGGTGCACAAATGAGTAAAACTATCTATTGTGCAGAACGTTATGCTATTTACTGTCTAAATTATGTGTATTTTACTATTTTTTGTGTGTGTTGGTGTTATGTACTCAGGTGAATGTGATGTTTGTGATGTTACTCTGAGTGTGCATCCACACTGGGCAAGCTGAAAAGTTAGCTTGGCCACAGTGGGAATAGAACCCGCGACCTTTGGGATACTAGTCCAATGCTCTACCAACTGAGCTACATGGTCAAGTCCGTTTGAGTTGATGATATTTTGGTCTAGTTCCTTCGATATCAGTGTATTCTACGATATGATTATGTAGTTCAAATGTTTTGACTAATCTATAACTCAGATATGGCATTTCCAGGGTTCCATTTTCAAAATATTCCCATTGGAGCATGCCCCCTACTATTTACTTTGTCTAATGCTGGGCGATTTTACTTGTCAGTGGTTGAGTACTACTAGTTAATGGGTTAACAAACCTATCTGCCAACATCTCTTATTAACCCAATGATTGGCAATGCACCCTACTTTAGTATTTACTATGTGAAACCCCAGATGATTTTACTCGACAGTGGTAGAATACTACCAGTGAAAGAGTTAACGAACCTATTTTCTAACGTCTATTATTATTAACCCATTAACTGGCAATGTGCCTAAATGCACCCCACTTTGTGTATTTACTGTTGTAAATAGCACTCAACAGTTTAGAAACGTTTTAACGTTTTAATTGATAACATTATATTCGGTTAGCTGTGTTCTTATTAATAACCGCGTTGTTTATCGCGGGCTCAGGTTTTGTACGTTCATGTTACGTTCACGTTTGTGTGCTCGAGGTGTAAATATAGTTTATATTGTTTTCCGAAGATTTATATTAAAATTATAAACTAAATTGAACAGTTTATGGGCCCAGACACTCTCTGAACTGCATGTTATTAATCAAAGAAACTTCTGCTGGATTTAAACATTCAAAATGGCTCAAGAAGACAAGTTATTTATCGACCAACTAGAGGGAGTTAAAAATTGGCAAGTATGGAAATATCAAATGCAGGTTATATTGGAAGCTAGAGAGTTGTGGAGTGACGTTGATGAAACGGCAACCAGCCCGGCTTTATCAGAAAGCAGTTCATCAAGTTCATCGGCTCAAACAGCTTTCGAAAGGGCTCAGAAGAAGACCAAAGCTCTACTTGTTACGAGTATAAATTCGGATCTTGTACATCTCATTACTGAATGCCAAACGCCAAAGCAAATTTGGGACAAACTGAAGGAACGTTTTGAAAGAAACACGTAGCAAACAAAGTGTTTTTGAAGCAGAAATTCTTTTCTTTAAAAATGAAAGATTGTGATTCCCTCGATGATCATCTACGCCGCATGAAAGAAATTACTGACCAACTGGCAGCCATCAAGGCGCCTATTCCTAAAGATGAACATATCGTAGCCCTGTTACTCAGCCTTCCACGATCATATAATACTATAACAACTGCATTGACTGCAAAACGAGACGAGCTTAGCCTAACTCAAGTGCATCAAGCACTCATGAGTGAAGAAGAAAAACGTGGCCTATACAAGTGCAAAGATGGTGGTGGTCGAGTCGACAAGGGTGAAACTGCCTTACAGCATGTAAAGACAAGTCGAAAGCCTATCAAGTGCTTTGGATGCGGCGAAGAGAATCGTGTGATCAGAAATTGTCCGAAAAGAAAGAAAGGGCAGCATGAAAACAGAAATAAACCGGGAAATTCATACAAACATAAAGCAACTCCAGCAGATGCTGATGGGAAAAGGAACGAGGATTCTGGGGGTAATGTATTCGTAGTAGGATTGATTTCAGCTAAAGGGAATAATTGTTGGATAATCGACTCCGGTGCTTCGCAGCACATGACTGTTAATCGTGACTTATTGGTAAATTATTGTAAATTCCCTGAACCAGAACCTGTTGCTATTGGTGATGGTCGTTCTGTTTATGCGTACGGATATGGACAAGTAGACATCACTATGATACTTGGAAATAAAGAGAAAGACCAACGGAAATCAATTCTAACAAAGGTACTCTATGTTCCAAAATTAGCTACAAATATTTTTAGTGCACATGCAGCAGCATCTAAAGGCAAGGTGGTGCAATTTGGCCACACCTTCTGTTGGATTAAGGATTCGAAGGGACAAGTTGTGGCACGTGGTCAACTTGTTGGGAACATGTACCGTCTTGATTGCAAAGTTGACAAACATGGAAACCGAGCATCAATTGCTAATCAAACTGGTGCCAAACTGGATCTATGGCACCAAATAATGGTGCATTTAACTACCGGTCAAATGAAAATCGTGGCTTCAAACTTATTACAGGTACGGACATACCCGGAACTGGCAAGTTAAGTTTTTGCGAGGCCTGTGCTGAAGGAAAGGCTCACCGAGCGCCATTTAAGCCAGTGGGAGAAATTAAGTCAACGAGAAGGTTAGAGTTGGTCCATAGTGATGTTGCCGGACCGATGAAGACTGAAAGCTGTGGAGGTGCAAAGTACTTCGTCACCTTCATCGATGATTACTCCAGATGTGTCACTGTTTACCCAATGAAGTATAAGTGTGAAGTGTTGGAAAAATTCAAGGAGTGGGAGGCAGCCGTGACAAACCAGGCAGAATGCAAGATTAAGACACTTCGGACAGACAATGGTGGCAAATACACATCCACCGATTTCCAAGATTTTCTAAAGGAGAAAGAATTCGCCATGAGACTACAGTGCCACATTCACCCCAGCAGAATGGGGTAGCTGAGCGCATGAACCGAACACTTCAAGAAGCAGCTCTCTCTATGATTCTGCATGCTGGACTGTCCAAAGCTTTCTGGGCAGAAGCAGTTTCCAATGCGGCCTATGTAAGAAACCGAGTCATCACGACTGCGACCGCGGTAACCCCTGACGAAAGATGGTATGGAAAGAAGCCGGACGCTCAGGACGAGAGACGAAAGACGCTCAGGACGAGAGAGAAATCCACCAAGGTACTACCACGACGATTATGCTACAATCACTACAGCGAAATATGCAGCACTTTATGTAGCTGAAATCAAAGAGCCAGAAACGTTAAAGGACGCTCTTGGCAGTGAATATGCAACACAGTGGAAAGCAGCTGCAGATGCTGAGTACCAGTCTTTGTTAGAGAATGAGACTTGGGAGTTAGTTGAACTGCCAGCTGGACGTAAGCCTATCAGTTGCAAGTGGGTTTTCAAAGTCAAGCACGAAGGAAATATATATGCAACAGCCCGATCGCTATGTAGAACCAGGAAAAGAATGGCTAGTGAGTCGCCTCAAGCAATCGCTTTATGGCCTGAAGCAAAGCCCGCGCTGTTGGAATAACGTATTCAAAGAATTTATGTTATCACTGGGATTTGGTCAAAAACTTTATTTAAACAGGGTGGCCCTTTCAGCACGAAGGCTGGTATCCATAGGGGCCCTGTGTCTAGATATAAGCTATTTATAGGAATTACATTTTATGTGTATTCATTCGTGTCCTCAAGGATAAGTTGACGATTGTTACTGTTCATGTTGATGACCTGATACTTTTAACGGATACTGAAGAAGAGATGTTCGATCTCAAGACCAGTCTGGCAAACCACTTCAAGATGAAGGATATGGGTGTACTCCACTACTGTCTAGGAGTTAGTGTTACTATAAAGGACGGTGTATTGCAAATCAGTCAAGACATTACATCGGTAAGATTATGCGAAAGTACAAATTACAACAGTGCAAAACGGTGTCAACGCCAATGGATCTTAACGTAAAACTAGTTAAGGACGATGGATATAGCAAACCAGTGGATGTCGTTCAGTACCAGTCAATGGTAGGGAGTTTGATATACTTGGCGATAGCTACTCGTCCAGACATAGCCTACGCAGTGGCAGCATTGGCTAAATTCAACTCATCACCGACCGAGGCACATCTAACAGCGGTCAAGCGCGTTTTTCGGTATTTGAAAGGAACTGCTCAGCTACGCCTGCAGTACCAAGAAACCGATGCTAATGTAGAGGGATACTCTGACACAGATTGGGCTTCTGACTCAGATGATCGACGATCAACGTCCGGAAACGTATTTGTGATGTCAGGTGTGCAATCAGTTGGACAAGCAAGAAACAACCAACAGTGGCTCTTTCAACGTCGGAATCAGAATACATTGCACTATATTTTGCAACCCAAGAACAGTATGGCTACGATAACTGATGAAAGATCTACAGATGGATTGTACCACAGCGACGACCATATATGAAGATAATCAAGGTGCTATCGCGCTGTCAAGGAACCCAGTGCTACACAAGCGGACGAAGCACATTGATATCAAATGTTATTTCGTTCGGGAGAAAACTCAAGATGGGACAGTTGAGCTGAAGTACTGTCCAACGAATGAAATGGTAGCGGATATCTTGACAAAGCCACTATCCAAAGGACAATTTGGGTATCTGCGATGTAAGTTGGGAGTGATACAAGGACATGTTGAGTGAGTGGGAGTGTTGTAAATAGCACTCAACAGTTTAGAAACGTTTTAACGTTTTAATTGATAACATTTAGCTGTGTTCTTATTAATAACCGCGTTGTTTATCACGGGCTAAGGTTTTGTACGTTCATGTTACGTTCACGTTTGTGTGCTCAAGGTGTAAATATAAAGTTTATATTGTTTTCCGAAGATTTATATTAAAATTATAAACTAAATTGAACATTTACTCTGTGTAATGCCAGACAATTTTACTCGTCAGTGGTAGAGTACTGCCAGTAAATGGGTTAACAGTGTTAGGTGTGCTGTGTCATGGTCTCAGTTATACCCCGGCCTGATATTTCCTTTTGGATTAACAGAGCAATGGGATATGTGTTAAGAAACACAACTGATCTTATCAATACTTCTATTTTTTTAAAAAGCACTGCACTTTATCTTGTCTTGCAAACAAATTCAACAATTATAAGACATTTTTACTTAACTTTAAAGAGTGTTTGACGGAGAGAACCCAGACGAGGGGGTATTGAGACCGCTACACCAGCGCACAAAAATAGACATTCCATACTAGTTGCCTTTTTAATATAGGCTTGAGTATGAAGCATACATATTAAACGCAATCATGATGAGTTCAGCAATGGGCAGCATTCGTTAAAAAGTTCCATTCTGTCTATATTTTATATAAGGCCATATGTATAAAATATTTAACAATCATTCGCCGAAGGCGAGGTGATTATCGGGGAATATTCGCCGAGACGAAGTCGAGGTGAATATTCACCGTAATCACTGAGCGTGAGGCGAATAATTGTTTTAGTATAAATTTTTAATGAATCAAACAAAATATCCAAATATCAGTTGGATTAAAATTCAGAAATAAAACAGTTTTCGGCCTGTTCACGGTTACTGTCACTAACCGCAGTGTTGCAGTGTTTCTTGTACGTACACGCTTTCAAAATGGCTTCTTTTGTGACTTTATTGCTTTATTACAAAGATTTTTTCTCGATTTCTGCTTAGAATATAAACACAATAACGGAATAACTTTTTCACCTGACTTAGAATTAAAAAGAGTTTCTGTTTGGCATTAATTTTTTCAGAAAATGGCTGAGAAATTTGGTAAAATAAAATGTAAAACTATATCGTTTTAAATAATAACACTTTTCACTTTACAAGTTTTGAAAACACAATACAGCGGTCAGAACACCATAGAGCACAATGAAAACATGATATATCAAAAGAAATAGTATCGTACAAATTGGGAAATCTACATGGGATACAAAACAAAATGGATTTAAAAGAATATCACGGCAAGGTATTTCCTAATAGTCGGGATAGTTTTTGCTATTTGTTTGATGTCTCAAAGTTTTAAATAAGTTTTAAATTGTCCGTGAATATGTTTGACACAGTCAAATAATAAAGAAATCCTACCTTTCAATTTAAATACAACATTTTGTGCTTTTTTTCCTTTTTCTGGGACGATTTTTTCAATATTTTGTCGATTTTGAAATCAAAGTTTGCCGATTCATTCTTTTTGAAAAGCATTATTTACTAGTCAGCTAGTAAATAATGCCTCAGATTTACTTGTCAACTAGCCAGTCAGAACGCGCGAAAGCTCATTTGATATGCAAAATTTATACTAAATACCTATATAAAATAAATATATCAGTTCGAAATTGATCGGAAGACTGGCGGCCATCTTGAATTTGGATCAAGCAAGTGGGAAAGAAAGCTGTTGTTTTCTTCATTGCAAATAATGTAAATACTGATATTACAGATTATACCAAAACATAAAAATAATCCATGCTTTATAATCAACGTTTTATATACTGCAAGATAAATACTCTAACAAACAAACCATCGCATTTGAGGACAACTAGTTTAAGTCGTCAACTTCATGAAATATCATGAACTAGATGAAGCTGTTAGCCTGTTTATTACAGTCGGACACAAATATAATACACACGTCTATACCAATGTTTTAAACAATAATAATGACACAATGTTATTAGGAAAAAGTGTCTACTTACTTTTAACAGTAGGATCAACAAATTGCCTTCAAATCCGAATATAGCTTTCTAGAGCTCCAGTTTAGCAGTGTTGACAGTGTGGTATGAATGCGTTCAAATGCCACGTGACGATGAAAGAATAGAAATTATGCAATCTTTACCCATGCGCATGCAAATTAGAATCCACGGCCAAGGCGGCCACGGCCACAGCACTCTCATGTTCTTTATAAAATGCGGTTTTGAATTATAAGAAAGAAAAACGACCTTTATTTATTAAAATAGTTTTAATCTCAAAAAACGTCTTCACAACGTTTTTAAAATGTGCGGTTTACGTTGGTAAAACGATGTGACTTTACGTGCGCTAGACGTGATTCGGTCGACTCCTGAGGACGTTGTCACAACGTAGTAAAACAATGTAAGAAAAAACGTTTTCACAACGTTTGTTCAGAATGCGCTAGAATAGTGCGAGAGATTCGCGTGGCAGTCGTCACGCGCGGAACTGTCCTCGTGAAAAACCGGTTTGACCTGGTTCTGGAGAATTTACTTTGTTGTTGTTTTATCGAGGATTTTGATCGGGCGATTATTTCGAAAAGAACATTTAATATTATATTTTTCTTACTATTTTTTGTAAACCATTATTTTAAATACATTTTATTGAAAACTTAACGAGTTCTACCAATATCGTGGCTACATTTATGGCGATCCTGCCAGGACATATGGCAAATTCGAAGGGAAATTTATCGATCGAAAAACGTGATTGAGTCGTGCGTGGTTTTGTGGACTTACGTTAAATCGTTAACAGTTATAGTATCGTACTCTGACAGTTTTTCCATTTGGAATTATTGGTAATTTAGCTGGAGTTAATTCGAATGTTGTATTTTGCCTATTTTATCGTCGTAAAAATCGGGAAAAATGAGTGACAATGAGGAAATTCAAGGACAGGAAAAGACGGTCGAGACAAGTGGAAGTTCAGCCAGTGCAAAGGATGATAAGCATGAAAGTTATGAAAGAATTCTCGAACTGAAACGTAACAAGAGGTAAAAAAACCCAGCAGTGACTAAAGTCCGACACAGTTTGGAAAGATTATGTGCAAAAAAAGGTGAGCTTGACATTCAATCAATAGAAGGGCAAATTGAAGGTTTATGGGAGTTGCTAGAGCAAAGCATGAGTGTTATGGATGAGCTCAGTCATGCTTATATGCAAATTGGTAAACATGACAGTAATGCAACAACGAACACAGAAGCAGAAAATTTTGAATCTGAAACATTACAAGCAATTGAAAGGGCGGAGGTTGCAATTAACGAATTTTTGCAAGTAAAATCAAAACAATCAAGTGAATCAGTCAGTATTGTAAACACTCAACACACACCAACAAGTCAACAGAATTTGTTACCAGCAGAAAATAATACGGGAAATAACGTTGGGGTATCAAAACATAAGCTTGACCCACTTAAAGTGCCTGTGTTCGAGGGTGATAAAACACGTTTCGAGGACTTCTGGGTACTATTCAGTAGTTTAGTGAACAAGCCAGCCAATATAAAAATGGCCAGATTGCGTCAGAGTTTAAAAGGAACTGCGCTTGAAGCGATTCGAGGGTTGGGGGTTTCTTTGCCTGAATACGAGGAGGCTAAGGAAATTCTGAAGACAAAGTTTGGGGGGCGAAGGCGACAATTGCAGGCTTATATGGATCAGCTAGAGGCAATGCCTTCCCTGAAGGGTAGTGATGTGCAGGGCTTTGAGAAATTTGCAGATCTTGTCCGGATAACCGTTGTTAAGTTGCAGGCAGAGGGTCGGGATGGAGAGTTGGGAGAAGGTACGTTGCATGGTTTGTTGGTCAAAAAGCTTGCAGAAAGACAGGTTGAAAGCTATAGTCGTTGGCTTAGGGAACATAAAAAGGAGAGGTCAGTGTTAAGCTTGAAGGCTTGGTTGAAGGAAGAGGTTAGGGTGAGAGTGGAAGCTGTGGAAATGGTTCATGGTGTTAAAGGTATGGATTTGTCGTTGAAAAGGAATGAAGCTGGTGGGGGAAAGTTTAGATATGGTGATAGAGGTCGGTCCCGTACACTATTTGCTGGTCGTGGTGGAGTTGGTGGTAAGGATGTGAAGCCACCTTGTGCATTGTGTGAGGGGAACCATGGTATATGGTTTTGCCAGAGGTTTCAGGATATATGAAGGTTCAAGATAGATGGAATATAGCTAAAGTTAAGCACTTGTGCTTTCGCTGTCTTGGGAGTGACCACCAGGGAAAGGCATGCCTTAGGTCCAAAGCCTGTAAGACTGATGGTTGTACAAAGAATCACCATGCCCTGCTGAATGATTCTGCCCCACCAGTTAAACGCCCAGAGGACAAGAATCCAGTTGTTCCACGGGAGGGGGAAACTGATTCCCGCACACATACCACAATGCATGATACCCCAGCCACTGAAGCACTCTCACTACGAACAATTCCAATATGGTTAAAAGCGAACAATCGAAAGGTGAAAGTTAATGCGCTACTCGATGATGCATCAAACGAGACATTCCTTAATGCTGAGGTTGCAGGAGTGTTGGACATTCAAGAACCATTGCAAACAGTGAAAGTACACGTCCTGAATGACGAGATTGAAACATTTGAGTTAATGCCAGTAAATGTTACTATTGAGAGTGTCGACGGACAGTTTTGTAAGAACATTAGTGTGAAGACCTGTCCTCGAAAGGTTACGGGAAATTACAAGGTGGAAGACTGGAGTGTTAGCAAGGAAAGATGGGAACATTTAACACGATGTGATTTTGCAAAGCCGGCCAAAGGTGGGATGGTGGATTTGCTTATTGGAACAGATAACGTAGATTTACACTACTCCAGAACTGACATCCGTGGGAAACCTGGAGCCCCGATTGCTCGGTTGGGTCCATTCGGGTGGACTTGTATCGGAACACCAGATCGTGAGGATGCTTCACAGTCAAGGACACATGTCATACGAACTCTGTTGACTAGGGATTCTACACAGAAATCCGAGGAGGGAACGTGTTGTGAAGTGGATCGTAGTATTAAACGCTTCTGGGAGGTGGAAAATTATGATACTGATGGTAATGGTGCGAAAGTGTATACGGAAGAGGAGCAGTTGGTATTAAAAAAGATGGGATCATCGATAAGCTATGACGGCACTCGGTACAAGATAGGAGTTCCGTGGAAGGAGAACCGACCTAAACTGAAAGATAATTATGAAGAAGCGTCCGCTCGTCTGTGCAATACGGAGAAAAAGTTAAGGAAGGACAAATTTCTGGGAACGGAATATCAGAAAACAATCGAAGCGTACATTGAAAAAGGGTACCTACGCCGTGTCAAGAGTGAGGAAGAGCTTCCATCCGAAGTGTGGTACCTTCCACACTTTCCTGTCGTAAGGATGAACAAGACCACCACGAAAGTGCGCATTGTTTTGACTGTTCAGCGAAGTGTAACGGAGTCGCGTTAAACGATGTCATCCACGCAGGACCTAAGCTACAAAAGGAATTGATTGATGTACTTATTCGTTTTCGTCGCAAACCTGTGGCGGTGGCGTGCGATGTTAGAGAAATGTACCTTCAAGTTGAGTTAGAAGAGTGCGATCGTCCGATGTTCCGGCTGTTGTGGCGTGACCTGGACAGTAACCGAGAACCAGACGTCTACGAATTCAATCGTGTAGTGTTTGGAAAAAACTCTGCGCCGATGGAATCGCAATTCGTGGCCCAAGAAAACGCTAGAAGACATCAAGAGACGTACTCTATGGCTGCTGAGACCGTGCTGAAGTCCACGTATATGGACGACTCTATCGATAGTGTGGAGACGGACGACGAGGGCATTGAGTTATACCAGCAACTGAGAGATCTTTGGAATTTAGCCAGTATGCAAGCGCGGAAGTGGATCTCAAATTCCCCAGCGGTTATCGCATCAACACCAAAGGAAGAGCGAGCAACTGAATTATCGATAAGTGACAGCCCAACTTCAGCCGTCAAAACTCTTGGGCTCTTCTGGCATAGCAGCGACGACCTGTTAACAATATCTTCACCTGGGTGTTCATCAGAAGTGTTGCTGACTAAGCGGAACGTATTGAACACAATTGCAACAGTTTTTGATCCGCTTGGTCTGATCAGTCCATTTGTGGTTATAGCAAAAATCCTTCTACAGGAGCTGTGGTCAAGGGTATATGACTGGGACGACGTCATCGCAGACGAAGTTGCCGATAAGATCAAGATGTGGTTTCGACAGCTGTTAGATCTGGAGAACGTGCGTGTACCAAGGTGTTTACGCGAAGCTAAGACAGTCCTGAGTCAATCTGTGATCACATTCGTCGACGCTTCCCTTAAGGCTTATGGAGCAGTCGTCTACTTAAAGTGTGAATACGAAGATACCACCACTAGCTGTCGGATGATCGCGTCCAAAACGAAGGTTGCACCATTGAAGCCAATGACGGTTCCAAGGCTAGAGTTGATGGGCGCTATACTAGGTTTGCGATTAACACAGCGTCTCATTCCGATTCTTGAAATAGCGATGAGTATGGTGACGTTTTACTCGGACAGCACAGATGTTTTGTGGTGGATTAGAGGCCACGGACGAGATTTTCGGTCATTCATCGCAAACCGCATTGGGGAAATACAAATGTCGAAGTTTGCTTAACACTGAAAATACAAATGTCGAAGTTTGCTTAACATTGGGGAATTACAAATGTCGAAGTTTGCTTAACACTGAAAATACTTGATCATTGTTAGTTTGCGTAATTGAAACCTTTTGTCAGTGTTAATGAGATAATCAGTGTAACTCGTATGATTACTGCTTACTGGAATCCCAATCGAAGACAGGAAGGCAAACAAGAAGTCAACAGTCTGGAGGCTTGATCCTAAACGGTATTCCAACTGGACACGATTGGTACGCGTGCTCGGGAGAGTTAGAAGATTTATCCATAACACGCGAAATTCGGAGACACGTGTGAGCGACCAGGAGCTGCTTCCCGAGGAGTTACGTGACGCGGAAGAAAGCATCATTTGTCGTGCACAACAAGACGCGTTTAGAGACGAGTACAAAGCCCTAAAGACCAGAAAACAAATGCCACCCAAGAGTACGTTGCTGAAACTAAATCCTCGGCTGGATGAACAAGGACTGATTCGTTCGGACAGTCGACTACGATTTGCGGAATTCCTTCCGTACGACATCAGATTCCCGATAATCTTGCCAAGGGGACACTGGGTGACTAAACTGATAGTCAGACATTTCCACGAGCTATCGAATCACACTGCCGGTACAAACTTCGTCCTATCACAGTTAAACCACCGATATTGGATCCCAGCAGCGAGGGAGGAAATCCTGGAATGGGAGAACGAATGCAACACGTGTAAGAAGAAAAAGAACAAAGGCGGTGCCCAAATAATTATGGGACCTCTTCCGCCGAGCCTACTTCGCCTCACCTATCGCGCATTTGACCAAACGGCAGTTGATTATGCTGGGCCTTTCCAGACGATACAAGGACGAGGCAAAACGAGGAACAAGCGTTGGTTATGTGTGTTTACTTGCATGTCCACGCAAGCGGTACATCTCGAAGTCGTTTGGGGCCTGGACACAGATAGCTTCCTTAACGCATTTACTAGATTTACAAGCAGACGGGGAATTCCGAAAGAAATGCTGAGTGATAATGGTACTAATTTCGTGGGCGCCGTCAACGAGCTGAAAGAACTTGTGTGCCAACTTGACAAGGACAAAATCAAGAGAAACGCAACCAACGTAAGTGTCAAATGGAACTTTAATCCTCCAGCAGCTCCACATTTTTGGGGCGTCTTTGAGATCATGGTGAAGGCTACGAAAAAAGCCGTGTATGCAGTTATGGGTAACAGTGATGTGACGGATGAAGAGCTGGTGACGATATGTACCGGGGTAGAAGGCCTACTAAATTCAAGACCCCTGACATACCAATCCACGGACCCTAGAGATGATGTTCCATTAACGCCCAACCATTTCATTCACGGTCAAATGGGGGGAAACTTCGCGCCAGAAAATGTGGATACTACGCAGTTCAACCCTCGCAAGCGATGGAGGAAAGTGCAGGAGCTGATCTCCCGAGTGTGCGACAGATGGTTAAAAGAGTTCTTGCCAATGTTGACACCCAGATCGAAATGGAACCAAGTCGTGAAAGAATTGAAGAAAGGCGATGTGGTCTTGGCGCTCCAAAAGGATCTACCGCGAGGGCGATGGCCACTTGGAAGAATCGTAGAAACCTATCCTGAACGAGACGGCCATACGAGAGTGGCCAAAGTACAATGTGGAAACAAAACGATAGTGAGACCAATTCATAAATTGATTCCGCTTTAGAACGTGTTAACGACATTGAACTATAAATAGTTGACATTTTTTAGTTGTTCGCACCTCGTCGCCTTAGTGCGGGGAGGGGGAATGTTCAGAAGGCGCTGGAATAGTGCGAGAGATTTGCGTGGCAGTCGTCACGCGCGGAACTGTCCTCGTGAAAAACCGGTTCAACCGGGTTCTGGGGAATTTACTTTGTTGTTGTTTTATCGAGGATTTTGATCGGGCGATTATTTCGAAAAGAACATTTAATATTATATCCTTACTATTTTTTGTAAACCATTATTTTAAATACATTTTATTGAAAACTTAACGAGTTCTACCAATATCGTGGCTACAACGTTCATGAAACGTGAATTTATTCAAGCAATGCGCTCATACAACTTTTATATAACGACATATGTTTATTGCAGCGAAACGTTCATACATGAAAATACATACATATAAATACATAAATCATAATATAATATAATATAATATTATTTAATAAAGATAAAGAATTGATAGAATACAACTTTATTTGAACAAAGGTAATATAGAGATTGTAGAAGCTAAAGTGAATTTTGTCGCGCGAACAGACTATATACTCTTTTGTCTTATGAGCTGTCTGCTTAGTCAGCCGGAGCTTAATATGTAAAATTACCTATGTAAAGTCTTTTAAATTTTAACCATATAAATGTCGTTTCGCGCGAAGAAATTCGCTGGTGGAAAACTGGCATAAAAGAACGTTATACTTTCGTTCAACAGACTCGAGTCACTCTCTATTTTGGCCATCTTCACCTGCAGACGCATCAGCGGTTTTCTAAAAGTGCAAACAATTTGCATGTTAGAAACAGGTAAGCTACTTCACTGACTAAAAGGATTCGATCGTGCTCTGAAATATAAAAGTCGATCAAATTTTCCAATACACTCTACATAGCTATTGGTGTTTGTGTTGGACAAGATTCAATGGAACGAAATCATAAACGATTGTGTAACAACAGCCATACGTTATTTAGCATCTTGGAAGAAAATTATTCAGACTCATTGGCAAAATGTCATGTCAAATTCTCATGTTACAGGAATATTTATGATCAAAAACGAGTCGACTATAAAAAGATGCGGCAAACATGTTGAATGTATATAGAAATTTACCCTGCAGTTCAAATACGATAATATTTAGATTAAGAATCCATTTTATCGTAATCCAATGTATGAACTATTTACCGGTTTTTAGGACATGGCCTTTAAAAAAAATGCATCATGTTGTGACCATGGTTTAAAATGTCTTGTTTATTAAAAGAAAATATCAAAGGTCAACTGACAAGACAGCAATACAGTAAAAACATATAAACAAACAGCTAAATATGTACTTACATTCGCACTATAAAGTCGTGGCGTTCCGCGTTCGTATGATACGATTTACTGGTATATGCAACAACGTCAACAACAAACCGTCGGAAGGACTACATGAGAGGAGATAATCAAATGTTAGAAAACCTTGAGTCACAGTTAATAAGCAAATTTACATTATAAGAGGTATTTTCTGTTAAACAAAAAACTATACGCTCAGCGAACAACGTGCGCAAATAAACACATTGCAATTTGAGAATAGAATAAATTACGCACAATTCGGCTCAGTCGATATGTGAACAACGTTCTAATTACGTTATTTGAAGGTTAGGTCGGACCTAACCAAACCAAACCACAACCAATTTAAAACGTTGTGCTTACGTACTGTGCTAGCTGGAAATCGTTTTTTTGTTAAAGGTAGACTGGTTAATAGAAATTGGTCTTTTTGGGTGACATAATCGTTTGTCGTCATCGATCCGTGTCGTTAAACAATGAAAAAAGTTGTCGTGAAATTAGAGAATATAAAATTGCAGTTTGTGAGAAAACTGCAGGTCTACGGAGCGGGAATTTTCCAGATTTGAACTCAGCGTGTTCGAATGTGTTAGTTCCGGTAAAACTATTTCAGTTCTAAGATGGGTGAAATGAAAGTGAACAATCTCGGGACGCAGCCAGCGGCCTATGTGCGTGAATAAGTTACTATCGTGTCAGGTCCTGTTCAATTAAAATAGTAAAAAATGCTTGGTATACTGGTAACTATCTAGCTATCTAGCTATCTACCTAAATCCCTGCCTGCCTATCCAGCTACTTACCTACCTACCTACCTACCTACCTACCTACCTACCTACCTAGCTACCTGCCAATTCACCTACCAATCTACCTCCATACGTATCTGCTCTACTATTTATCTACATGTCTATCTACCTACATAGCAGTACCTATACACTTAACTAGCTACACGTTTTTTTCAAGGTGTTTGTTTTTAGCACTTGTAATGCGATAGACAAGTGGGGTTGGACTGCTGAAGGATCACTACAGTACAAGGGGAAAATGTGTCTTAAACCTGAAACGGGAGAGGCGAATCCAAATAATGATGTTATTCTCGTGCTTGACTCAACCTGTAATGACTCACAAAACGTGTTCGAGTTTGTGCCCAGTGAGTATAGTTTAAAGCTTTATTTATTAAGCAGTAAAGAAACTTATGGGGTGATGGAATTGTGTATGCAATCCAGACGCCAAGGGGAAGAAGTTATTTTTATATTTGTAAAGTAATATTGCAAAGTTATAGCAAGCCAATGTAACAATTAGTCATCGAAGAAGATTACATTCCTTTTTCACTGAGCAATGGGAAAGTATAAAGTAAAATAATAATGACTATTTAAGTCAATGTTTTAGTACGTAGAAAGTAAACGCTATAATTTACTCCTAAAATTATCTTGTTCATTATGAAGAAAAAGTGCATTTGTGAATATCTGGTGGAAATAATCATGTACTTAATTTGAACTTCTATTATTGCATTGTATTTTCCAGTTACCATTTTATTATTAAAAAATTATTGCATTAGAATATTCTCTTCATATACAGTAGAAAAAGATACAATATTTAACAATTGTTGAATGACGTTGACCATGATATGAAGAATTGTCAAGCCAGAAGTGTCGTATCAACCGAAGCCGAAGACTGGGTTGATAAGAGAAACTAAGAGCTTAACAATTTTTCATGTCTTGCAAAAAATGTTCTGAAATCATGTTCAGAAAACCGTTTCGAAAATGATACTCCCAGCTGTAATTTGGAGCTACCACTTTTTGAACGCTCAATTGTCACAACTGAGATTGTAAGAGAAGCAAAGGTCACGTAATAATTTTGAATAAGAAGCTTATTGTCATGTTCCACGTAAGAAAGAAACTTGAATATATTCTGCTGTTTATGTCCTTACTAACTTTGTTAGCGTAATCTTAACAATATTATAATACATTTTCTTAACCTCTTTGGCATCGGGAGCTTTCTACCCTGAAACACGTTGAATCTATACACTGATAAATGCATGTATATGATTTCCCTGTCAACATTTTTGTCATCACCTTGACAATCATCAACATAATAACCATCATTTTCATCACCAAAAATTACTATCATACCAAAAAATTTTAAAAAAAACATCAGTTACTGTTTTGCGATAACATATCTTGCTTGAAGTTTCCAAATGTTGTAATTTCTATTCAAGCCTTTCTAGCAAACAAGAACCAAGGTCCCGGCTCAATAGAACATACCGGAAAGAAATGCATTCATGTTTTCCGGGCCGCTTATGATAGACCAAATAATGGACAACCCATTGTTGTATACCAAGGATGTGGAGAAGAACAAACTGAGTTCCAGCTATGGCCAAATGGATCTTTGATGCTCACAAGACATGGCATGTGCGTAAAACCTAACGGTACTGGACATGTGACAAATGGAATTCGGGTTAGTAAATTAGGCTTGAGCTTATAAGGATATGCTAATTAAAACTGAGCGAAAAGCAGCAAATTTGGTGCGAACTGTATTTTCACTGAGTACTTTAACTACTTAAATACAAACCTCACTTGCTACCTACATGATTACTTTCCTATCTACCTATCTACCTACCTTCTACCTGCTTGTCTTCCTGGCTCTCTGCCTACCTACCTACTTACCTACCTACCTACCTACCTACCTACCTACCTACCTATCTACCTACCTACCTACCTACCTACCTACCTACCTACCTACCTACCTACCTACCTACCTACCTACCTACCTAGACCCTACCTACCTACCCACCTTCCTACCTAACTACCTACTTACATACTACCTCGCTGCTTGCCTGTCTGCATATCCTTCCCTCCCTCCCCCCTAACTACCTACCCATCTTCCTACCTAAGTTCCTACCTACCTACCCACCTTCCTACCTAACTACCTAACTACCTACCTGCATACTACTTCGCTGCCTGCCTTCTTCCTTCCCTCCCTCCCTCCCTCCCTTCCTCCCTGCCTGCCTGCTTACCTGCCTGCCTGCCTACCTACCTGCCTGTCTGTCAGCATTCTTGCCTGCTTGCCTGGTTATCTGCCTACTTACCTACATAATTATCTAGACAGCTACCGGCATACGCCCTAACTACCTGCATGCCTATCTAAATACATACACAACCACCGGTGATACATACACACCTATCTGCTTTTCTACACATACCTATTTACTACCCTACTTGCCCTATCTTCCTAACTACTTGCTTTTTAAGGTGGGAGTTTTTAGTACTTGTAATGAGGCAGATAAATGGAGTTGGACTTCAAAAGGATCACTGCAGTACGAGAAGAAAATGTGTCTTAAGCCTGAGACTGGAGGGTCGAGTCCAGATAATGATGTTATGCTTGTGCTTGACTTAGCCTGTAATGAGTCACAAAATTTCTTTGCGTTTGAGCCCAGTAAGTATCACTTGGTACTAAATGTAAATGAACACTCCAGTAAATTGTCAGTTGCGATGTAAATGATTATGTGTTTTACGTAGAAAAGGAACGTAGTTGTCACATATTTTTAACGTATTTCATTTATCTAGCTTGGGAAACAATTTTCGTCAATTTTTGTTTTTCCTTTAGGTCCAGAAAGTGCAATCCTTATTTAATATATTTTACTAAGTTGATAAAACCTTTTATATTTTATCTAATATTTTATCTAATATTTTATCTCTTTAAGTTGGATAGCTCTTTCACTTTCTTACCCTTATTTGTGCAAGTTTATAAACGATTGATACTCTAGAAGCATGATATTTTTATAAAATGATCGATGATTTTTAATGTCACCTGGTGTGATAATTTACACAGCATATCAAAAAGAATCCGCCAACATAATTGATTGTTAAGAAATGGTAAAGCCTTTATCCCATAAAGGCTCGACTTACCATCTGCATGCAATGGTCGCATCGTCCACCTATTCGGGTAGGCAGAGGTTATATGAAGTAACAAGAATAACACTTCCCTTAAGGACCAACAGCAACTTCTTTCAAATAAAGCTGCGAAGACCATTCTTGACGCTGAGGGCCTCTTGAAACGACATTGACATCCACTTATCTGCAGGCGTTATTTCCACCAAATCTGACTATTTACAAATTGAAAAAACTTAACAAAGTTTAATTTCGAATTATCTAAAACAAACCAGTTAGCCTATGTTCGACAATCTTTAAGGATAAATTTCTCTCTCAGTCTAGTCTACTGTCTGAACTTGTCTAAACCGTGTAGACACAATTTAAGTGTTTACAAAAAATTTGTTTCGTTTAATTTAAATGCAGTAAAACTAATATCTTCTAATTATATTTGCATCTTTTATATTCTATTTTTTTTTTTATAATTTAATAGGATTTAGGTCATTAATTATTTTTAAATAGTCAAATGTAATCTAATGCATAGTAGAATATATTAATTAAATAATAAACTATTTCAACCTTCTGGTAGCAAGGTTTAAATTTTTAATTAAAAGACAAATTAATTCCTTATTTTTTAGTGTTACTACCGAGTACGTGCAAACAAACTTTGGCTGATTGCTTGAATCAAACTGAAACAATCTTTTCACATACTAGATGGAGCACTGATCTTACGTAGCATAGGCGAAATAATTACTATACCACACATACATTTTGCTCAAGATACCGGTAACCTCTTTCAATCTGTTAGCTCCTACATTCGCGGCTTAATGAACATCATCTCTCTCATTTTAGCACTTGGTTGGTATAATTACATCAATACCGAGTTAAGGCAGCCAAACGACAAAGCTCGATTGATTTCGCCATCTACAACAAAAACGAATTCCTGTCTCCACTTCTCTTACCACATGTATGGCCCTGACGTGGGTAAACTTCAGGTACTGATTTATTTGTTATTATTTACCTACTTTATTAGTATCAGGTATGATGAAACCAATTTGCTCAACATACATGGCATGCATAGTGTCATACATTAAAGCCTGGTTCACATTGATCGGCGATGTTCTACGATCCATTGTCTGTGATCTACGAAGAAGAAAATGCGCCAAACATTTTGGGCATCGCCGATGTTTACGATCCATGTGAACCAGGCTTAACATTCCTTGTTCTTTCCATAACAATGTTAAGAATTTTGATTCTATAGATAATAGCATGGTTTCGAGTGCAATTTGGATATAACATGCACGAGTGAGTTTTTCAAAGACCTCAAATTAGCACGAGTCCGAAGGACGAGTGCTATTTGAGGTCTTTGAAAAACTCACGAATGCATGTTTATCCAAATTTCACGAGAAACCATGCTATTACTTAATATATTAATAATTTACATAAAAATGTTCGAAATAATTGTAGTTTTACTTACGTTTATAGTGAATATTCCACTGGCAAAATTTTCCTGGCTTTGTTTTATTACATTATACAACGCTAACAGCTTGAAAATTCCACTCAACAGTGTGAGTTTTGTTAGTTTTGTAAAAAGGTAATGGCTTTTCCATTTAAAAATAAAGATAAGAGCCATATTTTCCACGAGAAGTCAACTTTTACTTTATGTAGTGCGGCGCCATCTTTGTTTTCTTTTGAAGCCATCTGTCACCGTTATACTTCTTTAATCTAAACTGCTTTATTAAACTGATTGGTTAATTTTACCATCACAATGTTTTTCCACTAATCAGATCAGTTTGTTACAGATTCTTGCACTGTTGTTACAGATTTTTGCACTGCTGTTTCGGATTAAGCGTACTGAAACCAACCAATCACAGTCAAGTAACATTTCGTTATATATTATCACAGAGTAGATAATACATACAGAGACGTAACTGATCGTTGTAAACACTGCGGAAGATTACGTTATCATGTACCCACTTTTTTTCAGGCGACCGGGCAAAAAATGATCAACTGCGCGTGCTCAGCAACTTTAAAGTGAGTCGTCATCAGGTCGTTATCCAATCAGATGCATGCATCTAGTAACTTGCCGAGCATGCGCATAAAAAAAGTGGGTACACTAGTTACGTCTCTGTATGTCTCTACTCTGTGATATTATTATATCCGTTACAAAGTGACGCAATCTGATTGGTTTCATAATTGCACTAACCAGGAGTGCAATTAATGTTTGAAAAAAATAATATGGCGACACTCTTTGTAAATACAAACGATTCTATGCATTCACTGACTTAGAACAAAAGCTGAAAATGAAAATATAAAGAGAAAAAGCGGTGAACTAAAACTCTCTTGGTGAACTTCCATATTTTGAACTTGAATAATTTTTTGTTGATTATGACAAATTCGCTGTTTTGCTTGGGTATTTCAAATAGACATTCGAACTTCACATCAATCGTAAACCAGTTATTGTTAAGGACGTCCATTATTTAGAAGTCAATTATTTAGAAGTCGATTATTTAGAAGTTTGGATAAACGAGTTATTGTATATTTTAACCGTGTTTTAACTGTTAAAAGTGTTAAACTAAATTCTTCATTCCCGTGACATCAATACTCGAGGGTAGTTGTAATTTAGTTATGCATAATCTACAATAATTTTCAACACACAATCATTACTCATTTTTCAAAAATTACCAGTAGTGTTAATCATTAATTTTACTCCTTCCCGTGTCATTACCTGTAAAAATTGTACTTCATGCCAGTATAAAGATGAATTAGTCAGGAGTAGGGCTTCAATGTGCCTGATTCAACAAAGAAATCTGGGTAGTTTCTTATGATTACGTCCAATATTGTGGCAGTATTGCATGTCACACGAGTTGGTTCTTTAATTATCTGCGACAGGGCATTGTGCTAGAGCCACCGTCTAAAACGATTTCCGATAATAGCGTTAGGTGATACATTATCATCGAAATGCGCGTTCAAGTCAGCAATAATCACTACCAATGTCTCGGGATTCAGTCTTAATTTATCTAAAGTGCATTGTAGCAAGTCCAAAAAAACCCCACTGTTTCTTGCAAAGAATTATTTAGTGATCTATAACAAACTCCACATACCATAGTAAGACCATGCATCTTGATCTCAACCCAAAGTAACTCCAGATCATTTTCCAGATCAGAACGTCATTTAAAAGCAAATGCTTGCTTTACGTATAAAGCAACTCCGTCACCGCGGCAGTATAAACGATATTTTCTTATTAAGGAATGGTATTCTGAAATATGCAATGTCTCATTGTGAATTCGTTTGTCAAGCCATGTTTCTGACACTGCAAATAAATCAAAGCTTTCGTTCAAAATATGTGAAGAAATTTCATCAAATTTATTTTCTATCGCGAGACTTCTGGCATTAATATGTCGTAGAGTTAGTTGTGATCGCTTCGGTCCAGGATTTTGTTGAATATCACCAGCCTATAAACAGCATTAACTGCAAGCAAACTGAGACTAACATACCGCAGATCAGAATGCATAAATCTAACAATATCAAACATGTAGCCCATATTTCTGATAATATATATACATGTCTTATATTCATTCTTTAAGTTCTTTAAATTATTAAATAAACCTATAGCTGCTCGGTCGTGATTGTTAGAGGGTAATAAAGGCCCTGAATAAATAAATAAATAATTAAAATGTTTTCCCTAAAGATCTGTTTCATGAAGGATCAACTTTATACCAAATAAAACACTAGACGATTCAAGTTGAATGCGAAGAGCTAGTAAATCTGGATATTAACAATTACACAAATTTCAGAGTCGTAATTACATTCAGGCATTTTAATAAAAAATCAAATTATCTTGGATCGCTCTAATTTGGCTACATTTAACTGTAATTTCGCCTTTCAAAAAATCGATGATTTTGAACATTTTGAAAAACAATAGCAAACCAAAGTTTCAAAACTGGTTAATTTAACAACGAACGTACTTTTGAACTTCAACTACGTGCGGTTTAAAAAATACTGATGTCATTCTTCTCAAGATAGGCACTCAACAATGATTTCGCTGCCTTGTGTCAAAAAAACAAAGAACTTTCCAAGCACGCGACACGGGAATGACATCTTACTAAATCAACTTCAAATTCTACTAATAACTGTAGGGGCCTCCTTGCATGAGTTCCATTGTATACAGTATATTGCGAATGTGTTTGAAATGGCCAAACTAAGAAAACTCGAAAGTATACGTTCGCGTCAGGTTCCAGATACGGTTCGCTAACATTTTGAGTGAAGGGGGCTTCGGCGTCGGGTTGTGCACAAAGCACCACTGATGACGTCACACAATATAATTTTATATCAATTACACATGCTTATAATCCATTTAAACGAGTGTAGCTCAATGATTATTAGAGTTTTAAGAAAATTGTAAATATATATATATATATATATATATATATATATATATATATATATATATATATATATATATATATAAATCGCCTGAAGATCGACCAGACAAGATCGTGAAACTCAGAGTAGCGAAAAAACATTGTTATTTTATACGATACACTACATTACTGGAAGTGCACGTCAAAGATTTTAAAATTAGAAATATCCTTCCAGTGGCAGCTGCACGAAAGGAATTGCCAAAAATCAAAAAGTTCTTACAACTATCACGGCGCTTGGCATCACATTTGTAGCAGCCTTCACCTTCCAGTTTATTAGGCTTATATGGGTTAGATGGTGCTAATAACTCCTTCAAATTGGCATTACGCTTATACGAAACAAGAATGGCACTCTCCGGTAGAATTTTTTTAGCCTGTTCATCACTATCTAAAACAGAGCGATGTTTACGAAAAAATTTTCGAATATCAGGAGCACTAGGATTAAACTTGGTAACAAAAACACAGGAATTCCGACGAACTTTACGTCTACTGGTACGCGCTTCCTCACGAGTCATAGCACCAACCACCTCAAAGGCTCTATTGACATGTGCACTGTCGTGGCCGCAATCCGTAAGATATTTTATATAAATCCTACTTTTTTCCAAAAATCAGCGTCCCTAGAACATATGCGACGCAATCTCAATGCCACTCCTTTGGCAATACCCAAAATTTGAGATTTTGGGTGCGACGAATTGGCATTGAGATACAAGTGTGTGTCCGTAGGCTTACTATAAACTGTAGTTTCCATACGATTATTAACTATGGAAATCAAAAGATCGAGAAAATGCAAACTACGCCCACCCACATCCATAGTAAACTGTAGATGCGGGTCGAATGTGTTGAGATCCTGAAAAAACGCTTGAAGCCGTTCCATGGTAACCCGCCATAACACAATAGTACCATCTCGAAATCTAAACCAACATCTCAGTTCAGGATAAATAGAACGAGATTCTAGAACTTTTTTATCTATCTCTTCTGCGACAATATCGGCATATGAACAGGAATTCTTAGGTCCCATAGCAGTACCATTTTCCTGCAGCCAATATTGCCCTCGATACATGGAACAGTTTTTCTTCAAGCAGATTTCCAAAGCTTCAATAACACACTCAATAGGCACATCGAAAGCCTCAGCATATTGCGAAAGTTTACAACGTACTCGCTCTATTCCCGTCTGATTGTCTATAGACGGGAACATATTAGTGATATCAAAACTAACTAAGAGATCCTCATCCGATAGTCCCGTTAAATTAAGCTCATCTAGCATATGTGTGGTATCTCGGACGCGACAAGAAATAGAATCTAAAGCTATTTTACAATATTTTTCAACGAACAAAGATAAATTCTCTGTGGGCGTACTACATCCCGAGGTAATGACCAGTGCGGGATTGTCAACTTTGTGAGTTTTAATCAAAGGGTAATTAATACCTGGATGTGTGTTATTAGTGTTAGTAATGAACTTAATCTACTTAGCAGACAAACCATAGGTTGCCATTTGTTTATCCATTGTTCAATCACTAAACCAGTCTCAGGCGATGGATCGTAGCCTACGTTTTTAAAACAACCACGCTCCATCTGTTCTTTAACCTTATCAGCATCAAGTTTATTATCCAGAAATACAAAATTGTTACTCTTGTCTTATTTAATCTTCTTGTAATCTCACTATAAGATCTCGTTCTTCAAAAGGAGTGGAACGAAACTTTTTTAGGGCTGTCCGTTCTTCCACTGATAGATTATCGCTTACCTCTTTTGCTGCTGATTTAGCAAACAAGTCCTTTTCCACTCTTGACAAAAATACTTCAATAGTTGGAACATTGGCCAAAGGTGGTTTCTTTACAGATTTCTGATACGATGGCTCGAGTGGGTCAATTGCAAATTCGGGACCATCAAGTGCTTTCTCTGGTGTGTAAAACCATGTACGCCATCTAACTTTTTTCTTAAAATCAATCCAATTTAATTGCAGTCCATTCCAGTCAATGCCAGTAGGTGTAGGCACAAAGGAAGGACCACGACCGCACAATTGAACTAAAGATTGTTCTATATTCTTATTTGTAAGGTTGACTGGCTGATATCCATGCGGTCTGTTTATTGGCTCTGAAGTTAAGCCGAATGCAGCCGAAAATTTATGCTGCCGCCATGCAGCCGATGCAGCCGAAAATTTAGTTTTTGTATCTAATATACCTTTTTTTTTTTTAGTAAACTTCTTCAAACGTAGCCGTTCTGTTTGTTACATATATATATATATATATATATATATATATATATATATATATATATATATATATATATATATATATATATATATATATATGCTGTTGGGGCGACCAGTGGAATACATGATAGTTTTGGAGTTGAAGCTGGTCTAAAATTCTTTTTAAAATACTAGAATATGTACAATAAAAAGTCTAAAAAGTTCTAAATTTTCGGTTGCTAACTGCAACCTTCATCAGAGTACTAAGAGCAGTTCGGATAGTTCAAGGTTTTAAATATCGTCATTATTGCCACATGATTGCACAAGCGATAAATACATGCGTGGGAATTCTTTGTGTTCGTTAATTGTTTTATTGTCTAATATTGAATGCATCGACTCGAGGAACGTTCGTTTTTCTAAATTATGTACTCTTTTCTCTAAGATTGTAGCATTGTTAATAGAGGCATTGTGTCCTGTGCTTTCTGCGTGGTCTTTGATTGCTGACTTAATCTCCCGTCTTACGCCTGGTTTGTGTTCTGCCCAACGTGATTTCCACGACCTCTTACTTTCTCCAACATACTTAAATGAGCAATCTGGACATTCAAATTTATAAACAATGCCTTTAATCTCCGTGATCTTCTGCTTGTCTTTTGGTTTACCAAAAATGTCCCCTAAGCTTGGCATGGGTTTATATATTGTCTTAATACCAGCACTTTTAAGCAGCTGTTTTATCTGTTCTGATATGCCTTTCATGTATGGAATACAAGATAACCCTTTAATTTCCGGTTCGTCATTAGTGTTGGAAAACGACCTGCTGGAACTTGTCTGGAAGATGAATTTCTCTGGATATCCGTTGAGCTTTAATTCTTGGACAACACACTCTTTTTCTTGCTGTTTTTTATTGTCAGTAGAAGGAATGCTGTCGGCTCGATCAAGTAAGGTCTTAACTACGGCTCGTTTACTTTGGGTGGGATTATGAGAGTGAAAGGATAGATATTTATTGGTATGTGTATCCTTACGGTATACACTTACTTCAATGGTACGGTTTTTAAGAATTGTAATGTGGGTATCAAGGAAAGAAATTGCTTCACCGTGGTTTGATTCTGATGGCAATTCAATTGTAAACTGAATGTTTTTGTTGATAGTGTTCAGGTGGGTGTGGAATTGTTCAATGTCACTTTTGCGTAGACATGAATTGGAGTCGTCAACATACCTTCGCCACCAGCGTACTGGGACAGGTGACGTGTTGATGGCAATTGACTCTATCTCTTGCATTACTATCTCAGCTATGACTGCACTAACAGGTGATCCCATGGCGCATCCTGACTTCTGATGATAGTGTGTCTCATTGAATTTAAAGTAACAATTGTTAAGTAGGAATTTTAATAGTTTCACAACTTGTTCTTCTTTCAGTGCTGTATGTGACTTCCATGAATCAGTTTCTTTAAGTTTCTTTTGTATAATATGCAAGGCAAACGGAACAGGTATGGATGTGAATAAGGACACAACATCAAAAGAGACGATCGTTTCATCCGTCCCTAACGTTTGACTTTTGGCAAAATCAACGAATTCTTTCCCATTACTTATAGAAAACTCGTTTTTTGCGCAAAAGGTCTTTAACAATTTTGCAAGGTATTTTGATAGGGAATATGTAGGTGAACCAATGTTGCTGTTAATTGGACGTAAAGGAATGACGTCGTGGTCTTGGTTGCAGATGAGAGACACTTTATGGACTTTTGGCAAACCATAAAATGTAGCAGGGGAAGAATCAAAAGCTCGTAGCTGCCAATATTCTCTATCAGTTATGTTTCCCGAGCGTCGAAGCTCTTTCAGTATACTCTCTAAGTCAGTTTCCGTCCGTTTGGTGGGATTTCTTCTCTTATCGGTGATGCGTGTATAAACTGTTTGATCTCCAAGCATCTCGTTTACTTGTTCAGTATATTTTGCCTTATCCATTATAACCACAGCATTTCCTTTGTCAGCTTTTGTTATGATAATCGTGTCCTCTGACTTCAAGTCTTTAACTGCTTTCCTTTCGCCCCGAGTTAAATTCTGTGTTGAGAGGGGTTTAGCATGTTTCAAAATTGAGAAGACGCCAGCTCGTATGTCGTTTTTTGCTTCTTCTGTAAGATCCTTGATACCTTGTTCAACCGACGCTAGTATTTCTTTCTTTGGTACACGTCTCGGAGTTCCGACAAAATTTAGACCCTTTCTTAACAAATCTATTTCGTTGTTGGACAAATTTCGCTGTGAGACATTAACGACCCATTTGTTCATAATGCTATGTTCACTGTCTGATGTTGAACGCCAGCGTGACTTTTTCTCGTGTCTTTCTATAATAGTGCTTCTCAAGTGACCACACCGACTAGAGATTGCTTGGTCCAACTTCGATAAGATCAATGATACTAGCCAAACAGAGAAAGTCTGTCAGTGATTATAAAATTTTGGATTTAGTACATAGTATTCGGTGATTATAGTCAGGCTTTAGCCTTTTTCTTGGTCTTTATTAATTATTATATTTTCCTAATATACTAAATCTATATATCACAAACTTACAGCCGGTGTCAGACGCGCACAGACTGTCATACGAATAAACATAAATTTTCGAGTTTTTTACTTCTACTAACATTTTTAAAGTTTTCATTGTGAATCATCTGTTTATTTCTAGTTCATTAGTCATTAATATGCTCTAAAAAACAAGGTTCTCAAATATATTTGTATATTTATTTGATAGTGTCATATTGATATTTCGATTTACAAGCAATCCTGGATATGATAAAGACGATACAAGCTGTCCATTAAAAAATAACGGTATTCTATTCCACAAAGCAAAACATTTAAGTCTCACTTGTATTATTAAGAATATATATAAAGCAAAAAATTTAAACTTGTGTGAGTTGTTTCAAAACGAAAGCTGTTTATAAAATTTATAAATGTTGTAAACACTACTATTAATATAAAGTGCCCATTGAAAGACATAATATAGTATACTGCATGTCGTTTGACTTATCTTTGATGTATGATTTTAATACTGTAGATTTTCAACAGACAGCTAGACTTTAACATATACCATGATTGTTGAGTTTCAGCAATGCCAAGGGCCAATGCAGGAAGTTTTATAAGCTTTTATAGTCAACTATCTGGATACAGTTGGCGTCTTGGCGATATTTCGGAAATCAAAAGATCTCGCTATTTCGTTGCAATTCCATGCCACATCTCATCAATAAATAAATTCTTTTGGTTCGAGTATCTAGATATACTTTACTAACAGTTAAATAAATGAATAACCACATTGTTCGGTCTAGATATATATATATATGTTTTCTTGTACTGCTTTATATTGCCACGCCGTCCACGCGAGCTTTCTCAGTGACAAGTCTATAAGTTGAAATCTGATCCAACTTGCTTTAATTGTAACTCGACACTAGATTAAAGAGTAGAAAGTCACATCACGATAAATATTAATTTTTAATTGCAGTTCTTTTCACGAATAATCACGATTTCTTTGAAGATTCAATGGTTATTGTTTATATATTTATAGAGCGAGCTAATTAATTGTGACAATATATACTCACTCCCCCAACCCTAGTAAACAATACGCCATTTTACGCAAAATCCGCGGGTCACGTCACAGGCCATACCAGGCTATTTCGCTCCCCAAGAGCAAATACCCTGGGTACGAGGTTGTCGTTGCACTTACTTAATTATGCTCTGGATATCCATTGAGCACTCTGCCAAATGTTTTTGTAAACAACGAAACCTAATTATATATATATATATATATATATATATATATATATATATATATATATATATATATATATATATATATATATATATGCTGCCAATATGTACATGCAGGATGTACTACAACCAAAAAGTGTCTTTTTCATTGTATGTTTCTACATCAATTACCTCGCACAATTCTATCTTACATCTCATCTTATAAAAAGTGCACTATAAAGTATAAACTGGGTGTTAACGTGTCTATACGCGTGGAACGTGTATCGTGGGTTAACTGTAAAATGAATGTTGTTGAAGCAGCATTAATAGCCTAATGTTCTTTGAAGAAGATCTTCTATACAACATTTAAGTTCTGTTTAATCAGCATTTGAACTTTCGTTTAGCCTAGTGACTTATTTCAATACATCAAAACAATCGCGCCTTCCCTCATGTAAACAGCCCCTATGACGCCTGTTGAGGATCGGAGGTAGGAAAATATCAAACACCTTGCACAAAGTCAAAGACAGTTAAATGTTCTAATTCTACTTTCTTGGCACGACTTGACAATTTCCATTATATGTCAACACCATTAAACTATTCAACTATTCAACAACTATTCGATCGAGTGAGATGCCAGCAATATCTTGATGTTTACTCATAATATCGCATCATATTTGCTTATTTAAATGCATGCTTACTAGTTACTCCAGTTTACTCGTATAAAAAGGCGTAGATCTTATATATGCTATGGTGGTTACTCGCGTGTGTATATGTAGTTCAACACGTTTTCCAGATACCGTTCAGTTTTCAGGTCCTTTGTTGAAGAATGAGATCAAGGGTTGTAGAAGAACTGCAGGTATAACACGTGCTATTTCATAAAAAAAGTTAACTATATTGACACAGAAATTACGGGAACGACTGAGTATTTTATTAAAATATAAAACAACGGTAACTCCGAATATAAGCATTTTAATATTCTAGCTTTCGACATAGTCGAAAGCTAGAATATTAAAAGGTTTATTTTCGGAGTCGCCGTTAATTTGTTTATATTATATTGACACAGGGTGCGTAAATTAGTCAACTGTTTTGTATTACATCAACTGAAACATTACAATTAAAATCACAAATAATGTTGGCCTCGTTAACGGCTCAATTTTATTCTGCATGCACCGATATTTGTAGAAGAGTTCGACTGAAGCGTTAGATAGCCTCTATCATGTTAATACCAGAAATGGTTTAACTTCTTTTTTTTTTTCATTTTAAAACACAGAGGCTCAAGGTCATCATTATTTAAATTTATCACATTTTAATTAAATCGAATTGCATTACCAATATAAATTGCTACTCCACAGGCATAGGGGCGGCGCGGGGGGGGGGAGTGATTTTGCCGTCTGATTGGTAATTTCACCGAGTCATTAGCCTATAGTAAATGTGTATGTTTAGGGTATGGGCAATGAAAATTGCTTCATCTATCTTATTGCTTCGTCTGAAAGAGTATGAAAAAATAAGCCGATTGGCCGTTTAATGCTCTATTCTATCTCATCTAGTTCCGAAGTTATACGCAAAAATGTGCAAAATATAAAATGCTGATTCAGCACAACGTGTGACGTCATTAGCTGGGTAAGTATGTTTATTGAATATTACACTGAAGCATAGCTCAGTTATTATGGGCCCAAATCAAATGAAATTTTGGATACTGATTGTACATAATGAGACGCATGGAAAAACACTTCTGATTTTGTTGCCAAGGTAACAATGTCGTTCCCAGGCCCCTTGCGCCAATTTTATAAAACAGCTTTATTCAAGGTACTGATAAAAATAAAATAATATCAGAAGTATGTGTACGATACCTATGCATGCCGAAAGTTTACTTGCATGATAATAATTCGAAAATGACATACACATAGAGAAATGTAACTAGTTATTCAAAATCAGTGTAAGGGGCCTGGGAACGACCGTGTTGCCTTGACAACGAAATTAGAAGTATTTTCCCATGCGTCTCATCATGTACTATCTGTATGCAAAATTTCATTTGATTTGAGCCAATAATAAATCAGCTATGCTTTAGTTTACTATTCAATAAACATACTTACCCAGCTTATGACGTCACACATTGTGCTGAAGCAGCAATTTATATTTTGCACATTTTTGCTTATAACTTCGGAACCAGATGAGATAGAATAGAGCAGTAAACGGCCAATCGGCTTATTTTTTCATGCTCTTTCAGATGAAGCAATAAGATAGATGAAGAAATTTTCATTGCCCATACCCTTTAAATGCGCTTTATTATACCCTCTATTAAACCGGTTTTAACGAATTTTTCCGCGCAAAACGACCTTTTTCCTTTGTCGGCATCCATTTTGCTACGTCTTACTGACGTAATAAGTGATACCGACGAATGACTATTGACTCTTTTATAGAACGGTAATAAGCAACAACAACAACCACCAAACAAATTTAATTACCAATAAGCAATTATTCAATTATTCAGGAAATCAATTTTGGTTTCTTCAATGGTTATCTTTAACCAATCCAGTTTTGCCGACTGAGATAACAATTTGACGATTTCATTCGCACCAATATTTAAATAAGCAATTTTGACCACCACCCCCTGTAAGCCTTTATCTGTCGCGTCGAAAAGTATTACAGTTTTTTATTGCCAGTTTTGAATTTTATATTATTGACTATAGCCTAATTTATTAATTTACCTCCAAAAAATCAACAAATTGATAATTCATATATTTATAATAGCAGATGAATATGATTGGATAACTACCAATATTTAAATAAGCAATTTTGATAGCCTTAATTTTCTGTAATCCAAAATCGTACTACTTATAGAATTTGCAGCGTCGGATTAGTGCTGTCCAAGGAATTGTAAAACATATTTGAATTACCTATGCTAACTAATCAATTGCTTGCTCAATGATACGTATAATGTTATTGCCACAACAGAAGTACGCTTCTACGATTTAAGTGATGCCTCTACCATTTAAAGTGCCCCTGTCACAAAATGAGAGTTTACATCATTAGAATCGTCTTGAAACGTAGATTATGAAAATACAAAACAGATTTAAAATTGAGCTTGTTTTCACAGAGTAATAAGGCAATGAAATTTGAAAATTTCAAATTTTAACGGCAAAAGTTTTTGAAAACCGCGAAGCTGGGAAATTGGTAACTAATACGTCATAGTAGGAAGACATTGCCTTCTCGCCTAAGTGAAAAGTATATAAATACTAAGTGAGAATCACAATCAAGCTGGTCAAAATTCGATACAAATGTCTTCGTGGAGTTCAGATACGGAAAATAACAGTTACCAAAGCGATGACTGCCTGAAATTATATTCCTGGGCCGTATCAAATCGAGTGAAATCGATGAAAACACCAGTGAAGCGTGGTCAACGTCGTGCGCACAAATGATCGGCGCTGCTTGATCCATATGTTAATGAACCATGCAGTGACCGACGAATATGGCTCAAACGTTACCGCGAAAAAAAGCAATCACAACGAACGTCTTAAGCAATTACAACAAAGGCTTGATAGTTCAGAAGAATTGAGTAAATGGTAAATATTTCACTCTGATTTTGTTGCGTGACTTGACCTTGTGTTGTAAATTACAAACTATAATATTTCATGTGTAAACATGGCAATTGTCGCATTGAACTGCTTCGTAAATTATGCTAAAGAGTGTCAATGTTGTATGGAAATTGAGGAGTGCGTCGATTCTCTACACAATGACATTGTGATTTGTGATGCAAGAAGCTGAAGTCGCGCCATCATGTATAATTCAACAGCTATGGCTAGATAAGTGAGCTCTCCGTTCAGCAGCCACGAAATTACGAACAAGAAAGAAACAGGAATACCGTCAAACAAGCACAGAAGATAGGTAAATAAAGTTTTATTTATCAACATATTGAAATTAAGAAACACTTTACCGTACCCGAGTTTACTATCAGTGAACACACGCATGCGGTACGGTAACTGAGAGTTATATACGGTACATACTGTACAATTATTGAATTATTATATATTTACATGTGTTCACATGCAAGTAAGCGACTTATTAAAAATACTTATTTATTAATTTATAGATTCTGAAGGAGCACAGCATATAGAAACTTTGTGTGGATGGTTTATGGACAACTAGGAAATTTTTGCGCATATGAGAAAATAATGCCTGCTGTTGATGAAGACTTTGTAGGATTTGTAGAGAACAGCTCTTGATATTATATAACTATTTTTCAATAAATAAACCTATTACACTGTATAAACGTGGTAATATTATACTGTATTGCGTATAGAAACAGCACATTTGCTATATTCATGACTTCAATACTGTTTTGCCAAAGAGACTGAAATTTGAGATTAAGATTTGTTCTGATGTTTTTCTGCACTTCGTGGGCGCGGGTTAATTTGTACAAAGTGTTGCAGCACGTTTAGGAATTTTTCTGACTTGTATTTCGTTCCAGGCACTGCCTTATACTATAGCAAATGTGGCAATGACTAAGTTATTTCATTAAGTTGCTTCGATGGATTATACTTTGTAATACATTTTATATACATCCCCGCAGTGTATCTGGTTTCATGCCACAATTTGTTACAAAATCTGCATATTGTACGGGTTTTCACTGCGGTGCAAACACAACGAGTGTATATATGTATAATTCACTGCGTCAAGTTTACTTATACGTACAATTCTACTTTCCCTGTCTAAACTAAAATACAAACAGTGCACATTGCTTGTAGACGTAAGAAATTGGCTTTCATCAGCTATATTTTGACATATTCACTCATAGTCATAGCTATATTGTCGCGATATTTTATATTTCTGGTGAATCCATTGGCTGTGGCTCATTTATATTTATCGCGCTTTCCAGTTTCGTGACTATGACCATATTGGTTGACTGCATCGAAGCAGCTTCTAAATACAACCTATTCAAATAACGAATTTGGAATAAAAATTCATGATAAACGAAATTAGAGTATAAATTATACATATACCATTCTCTTGGCTCTCGCAGACAAAGGTTTGTCGTCGACAGTATTTGTATATTTTGGAATACAAGGCCAAATTCAATGTTTAAACGGCAATAACTTTTACACTAAAAAAGCAATTTCAATTCCGTTTTCGAATTTCCGTATATTTTGTATCATAGATTTCGAAAATATAAACTCTCATTTTGTGACAGGGACACTTTAAGCAAGTTAAGTCAATGGACTTTTGGTCTTCATAATCCAATTTATTTTGTTTATGGAAATACTTCATTCTGTGTTGAATTAACTATTCCGGCCCAACCAGGCTTTTCCGTTTTATGCAAAATACACGAAAGAACTACCTTAGTTGAAGGAGAGTTTTCCCCAATTTTGGTTGCTAGGTTGATATTTCGTTCAGCAACTTGCTGGCCCGACATTCGGTTTAGGTCATTCGTCCCAACATGTAGGATAATTTGGTTTGGTGTACTTTGCCGAATCGACCTCAAATAGTTCTTCAAGTCTGAAGTTTTAGCACAGGAAAAGCTCTCTGCAACAACATAATAACTTGCATCAAATAAGTGCCATCTTGGAGAATCTTAGTCATGAAATCACCAATTACAACAATTGCCTTACTTTTGCGTTTATTATTGGGCACATCATTATTTTATTGTTGATTAGTACTTTCCTGCATCGTCGTTAATTTTGGATTTTCCTTTTCCTGCACCTTTAATTTCTTGCGCTTTTTATTTTGTTTTCTTTGCTAGTCGAGATTTTAGGTTTTTTCATCTCATGGCCAGAAATTCAGGACATGCGCCCGCAATATATCTCAGCGGTTTTTCCTCTGAAAAGTTATTCATACCTAACAAACGCAAGTTTTAACTAAAAAAATACATTTTGCTTAGTTTTTTGTTTAACTAAAGCAGGAAAATAGATATAATAGGTACTGTCGGCCTTTTACATACCTTTCATTTATTATGATGGGATATAAAGTGATGCGCATGGTAAACGACTCAAATATTTTGTGTATACATCGCTATCCCTCTGTGTAACCCACACTGGAAGAAAGCCTGGTTCCTAAGCTTCTTGTTGATATCGAACATGGACGACAATTCATTAAACATCGTTCTTCTTGCAATGTTTTACGGTCTATGGACAGGGTATTTATGGGTAAAATATCAACATTTTGTCCCGTAAATTGGAACAAGTTAAAAAATTCGTATCACTATGAAATTATGTAGACAAGCAGGGGACAACATATATTCTACGACGCGAAGTTTGCAAATTTCACGAAGGGTTCGAGGGGTACATGCGACCAGAGCAAAATGTACGTTTTCAACGATTTTCTCAAGTTTTATTATACTTTATTATACGCCGATGTACTATGAAGTGAACTTGAATAATGGAACAACTTATAGGTAAGATTTCGATGCGAAAATTTTCTGTTTTATGGTCCAGATATAATTTATAATATTGCGAAGTCTGCAAATGACATAGCTATTATCAAACACGTTTAAATTGAAAAAAACCGCGCCACTCCTAATGATTTATATATAACAAATCCGCCATTTTGTTTGTGAAAGTTCGCACATGCTCAGAATCCATGTCCGCAATTTCTGGCCATGTTAGAGGAAATATTGAGCAGCTTGCTTTGTTCAGGCGCTTTTATTTCTATATCTGGCTGTGTGCTACTATTTTGATTCATATATAGGTTTAGGGTTTTTCCACGTATATTTGTATCTGCTAACTTGGGGTGTTCATCGTGGAGGATCTCTACGCGTGCGCGGCCTTTATGCTCACCTGCTCATATAGTCATTTTGTATTAATATGCACTCGTGAGTTTTTCAAAGACCTCAAATTAGCACGAGTCCGAAGGACGAGTGCTATTTGAGGTCTTTGAAAAACTCACGAGTGCAAGTTTATCCAAATTTCACGAGAAACCATGCTATTATACTTATTACTAATTTACATAAAAATGTTCGAGACAATACTATGTAATTTTTTCTTTGAATGTTTGCATGCCGATAAAAATATAATTGTTTTTGTTTGTGGAAACACCACGTAAATTTATTACTGCAAAGCTTTCGATCCGTAAGCCCGGAACTTCATCAGTGCTAATAATATGATTATTAGCATATTATCAGCACTGATGAAGATCCGGGCTTACGTATCGAAAGCTTTGCAGTAATAAATTTACGTGGTGTTTTCAGAAACAAAAACAATTATGTAATTTTTGTTAGTCTTGTGTAAGGTAAATGCTTTTCCATTTAAAAATAAAGATAAAAGCCGTATTTTCCACGCGAAGGCAACTTTTACTTTGTGTAGCGCGGCGCCATGTTTGTTTTGTTTTGTTTTGAAGCAATCTGTGACCGTTACAGCTTTAAACTAAATTGCTTAAAACTGATTGGTTGATTTAAAGGACAATGGCAACAAATTTTTTTATTGTCTGTATTTATTAAGCTTACTAATGGAATACTTAATTTCACATTTTTGTTTGTCCATTGCATTTAGTTCTTCAGATAATTTGCGAAAATGTTTAACAAATTTTAACAGTCGTCCGCCATCTTGGGAAAATTCCGCGTATGCTAATTTATGCATGAAACATTTCGTGACGTAAATGGCAGGGTAAACGCAAATCCCACAATAGTAAGTTACACTGTAACAACGTTGAGATTTGAAAGAAAATGTTTACAAAAAATTACACTTACATCATAACGTGTATTAATAGTTCCAATTTATAATGTGTAGCAGCTCACTACCAATGGTCTGTGACTGTGTTTTCGACAGTAAAGCGTATGTTTGCGTTGTAAAATGCGCTTAGACATTGACTCCGGTTATGGTAGTTCTGCTGTTCCAATTACATGTCATATATTCCAAATGTATGTATATATGTATATAGCATATAGCTACATTTATGTATGTGCATGCTCTGTTGCAGAAATATAGAAATAATTTGCATTGGAACAAAAGATTCTACTGAGTATTTAGTGTTTCAAAGTGTTGTAATTATTATTAATACAAAAATAATTCAACCAACTGGCGGAACTGCAACAAGGCTGCAGTGGATAATCGCAACCACAAGGCCCACCAGCCGTAGACGAAGCATTTTAAAATCTCGTGCCAGAATTCACTGGCCGTTAAATTTGAAAACCTTTGAAAAACATTGACTGCACGAATTTTATACAAGCTAGGTTGAATCGAAATCATGACAGGAACTTAATCATGTAATGCACGCCAACAACACAATATATTAATTTAGCTTCAGATTTCACAACTATATATAATAATTGCTTTTAAAACTGAGTAAGCTTAAAAACGACATTGCTCGTGAAATAGCTGTTATCTCACAAACAAGATTTGCTTCTTCTGTAATGTGTAGTGTCGCACAAGTTAGACATTGCACAAATTAGTAAATTGACATTCAAGGTCAGTATGGGATTTTCCCAGCCAAGAGATTAGAGATAGTGTAAAATATTAGCTATAGTCTGGTTATATGTTGTGATGTGTTTTTACATCTAGTTTTACTTGGTTGTCATTTTATATAGGTAAATATATGCATGTAGTGCAGTAGTTCCCAATATTATCAATATTTTCATTGTGTTATGTAAAATACCCTAAATTCACGTGTGGGACATTATACTATATACAGTATTTTACCGAAATTGCAAATATTAGTAAGCTCTGAGTAGACTACGACTTGAATAACGAAAAGATCAAGATTGTTCATGTAAAACGTAAGGTCCACTGCAAAACATGAACCGTCTACGGTTGTAATAGTGACAGCCAACAAACAAGTGAAATCCGTTTCTTCAATTTTCCAAAGGGCAAATCGGTAGATCAGCAATATAGGAGAAACGCGTGGATTGAATTCTGTAAGCGCAAAGCATTTAAACCATCGTCGTCTATGATCGTCGTGCACTACAATATATGCTCACTTTATTTTGCCGAAGACGCGTATGAACAAGAGTACAAGACCGAAGACGCGTATGAACAGTCGCCAAAGTTTGAAAAAAACGAATACAGTGCAATGAAACGTTTAGAATACAATTGAAAAGGGAAGAGTTGCCAAGTAATAACTTTACTTACAGTGTAGCTTCAATCGTACTTCAATTGCGGATTTGCGGTGTACTATTTCTACAATGGATTGACATAAAAAGACACAAAACAGCGCACTTATGTACGCGTGCACCTAATATACAATATTTAACGGCATGGTCTACATTCAATACCCCGTTGAAAATAAAAGAAAGCCATTAAATAAATGATTATAACTAAACCACAAAACAAAGGTCCAAGACGCATGTAGAAGTCCTATATTTTATATACCTATCCCCAAATTAAAACATTGCTTGTTTTTCTCCTACTTTTGGTTCATATCGGTATGGTAACACTCCCCTACTTGGTTCTCGTGAATATTTTCCATTGAAATGACTCAAAAGCATTAATTTTTTGAGAAAACGTATTAAATCTCGATACACGCTATACAAAAATATATTGTTGTTTTGATTCTACCCTGCCATCTACGTCATACGGGTCATGTTACCCAAAAGATAATTTTTCGCAAATACGAGCCAAGAAGGCCGACCATATGTAAATTAACATTGAAATAACATGCTTATAACTCCGGAACAAAAATGTTTTACACGGTATTAATATCATATTCATAGTTAGATGAAGCAACACTTTCAATATAGACAATAAAAAATTTTGTTGCCATTGTCCTTTAATCATCACAATATTTTTCCACCAATCAGATCAATTTGTTACAGATTATTGCACTGTGATTACAGAAAATTGCACTGCTCTTTGGGATTAACTGCAATGAAATCAACCAATCACAGTCGAGTAATATCTTTATGTGTATTATTAATTGTAAAAGTATGGTTTCTCGTGCAATTCGAACAAACGTACACTCGTGAGTTTTTAAAAGACTTCGAGTTGCAATCGTCCTTTGGACTCAAGCAATTTTAATAGTCTTTGAAAAACTCACTCGTGCATGAATATGTTCTTTGTATGTTTGCATGGCGATAAAATATAAAATAGTTTTGTTTGTGGAAACACCACGTAAATTTATTACTGCAAAGCTTTCGACTCGTGCATGTTTTTCCAAATTCCACTCGAAACCATACTATTACCTATACAAATAACATTAAAGTATTGTATATTAAAAAAATGCGATTGCCATAAAGTATTTTAATAAAACACAAAACAATAGACACTCCGAAAATTGTAAACATTAAAATGTTAAAGAATTATAATGTTTACAATTTTCGGAGTGTCTATTGTTTTGTGTCGTATTGTATATTTTGGTCGTAGAGAATGGAGTTAGTGATTCAAGGAATAATAATATACATGAAAAAATTATGCAGTTACGTGCGTAAGTCACACTTAGAAATTAAGAAACTAAGAAAATTAAGAAACTTGAAAAATAGAAAATCAAGAAAATATAGAAATTTAAAAAAATAAGAAATTTGCACTATATTTCTTTTTTTGCACTGTATTTCAATTTTTGATTCTGTATTTCGAAAAAAATTGCTCTGTTTTAGCCAATGAGAATTGATAATTTTTTTGTGTAAATTAGTGGGAACCGTTTCCAACTGAACTTTGTAGCTCCGAACATAAAGCGTCGTTCAAGAAATGCAAAGGTTGCGGGTTCCATTCCCAACCCTGGTCAAGTAGAATTAATTTTCTGTTTGCCGGGCTCATACTCGTAGGAAGATCAATACAATTATATGCATTTACATCACAAGTAGAATCTCAGGGGAAATATACTATCTTTACTATTTGTCTTTGCTTCATGGTTTTTTAACCTATTATTGTCTGAAATACGATGTGATGATAAATGCCTATGTACTATTTCAGGTATACGTGAAATTGGGTGGCAAATTGGGATTACCAGTGTGGAGTCGTTATGGAGACAAAGGTAACAAATGGTATAATGCCCAAGTGGCTGTGGACAATCAGACGTCGTCTTATGAGGTGATCATGTAAAGCAGTCATTTCTAGCAATACAAACAAGTGAATTCAAAGATTGTATATACATATGTACATATAATCTATTCTTGTTGTCCGTATTTGAACGATAAATATATTTTAAGATTAAAGAATATATATATATATATATATATTATATATATATATATATATATATATATATATATATATATAGTACAATCTGCAGACATGCATGTTTCGGCGTCCTACGCCTCATCAGTGCAGCTTGGTACACATCTAGATACGCGATGACTTTCGTATTGATATACATGACACTTGCTCTCCCAAGCGCATGTGGTACAACACGAGTCATCAACGCATCCAGACATGCGCAGAGTGACATGGGGCCGAGTGCTCAAACAACCACGAGGGAAGTGAGCTTTGCATTATATATATATATATATATATATATATATATATATATATATATATATATATATATATATAGCTTAAGATTTTGGTTTATGAAACACAAACAGTTCTCAATACCACATAGATAGAGCGTAATATAGTTTTTCGTTTTACCTTAAAAAACCACAACAGTCTGTTTCATCCGTATAGGAATCATCTGGTGGTTATATATATACATATATATATATATATATATATATATATATATATATATATATATATATATATATATATATATATATATATACCCAACAAAAACGACAAATTACAATATATTTTTTAATTTACTAATCTAACGAACATAATACTTAAGGTACTCTGGAGCACTTCCGGTACGCTGTGGCCTTACTTCAGGGTGAATTTTCGATTGTTCTGTACATGGTTCTTCCTCCGTCGGACGGGGTGATTTCCTGGGTGATGGTACCAATGTTGTTGACACGTCTAGTAGCGGGGTGCTGGATTGCAGTGCATCCCCTTCCACTGATTGCTCGTTCGACTGCTCGTCTATTAAGATAGGCTCATTTCTCGTCAGCTTCTCTGCTGATTTCTTCAAGTGACCTCGGTTTCGGCGGTAACTCTTTCCTTCTGGCGTTTCAGCGATGTAAGATCTTTCATCTAGTCTGGTAGTTACCATGGCTTTGTCCCATGTTTTCTTCCCCTTTCGAAATGGTTTCATTCGTACCATTTCCCCCTCTTCTAACTTGGGTAAATCTTTCGCAGTTCGGTTGTAATATTTAGCTTGTTGCCCCTGCCGCTTGTTTAAGTCTCTAATCTCCCTGTTTCGACCTGCTACTCTTGGTTGAAGGAGTGTCGCTGTTGTAGGAACAAGTGTCCTTGTTCTACGGTTCATCAATCGTTGTACAGGGCTAGACTCCATCCCTTGCGTAGGTGTGTGACGATAATCAAGTATTGCCAGGTATGGATCTGTTCTCGCCTCAAGAACTTTGCGAATAAGCATCATTGCCGTCTTCACTGCTGACTCACCTTGCCATTGGCTTTACTATTGCCTGGGATGCTCGTTCTGTGTTCAAAGTCCCATGCGCCAGCAAACGTTGCGAATTTTTCAGCTGCGAATTGTCGGCCATTATCACTGATCATCCAGTCGGGACAGCCATATCTTGCAAAATGATTCTTCAACTTGAGAATTACCATAGCTGTTTTCGTGCTGGTTAGCCTGTCGACTTCCCAGAAGTTGCTGTAATAGTCGACAGTTATCAAATAATCCTTATTGTCGAACGTGAACAGATCGACTCCGACTTGTTCCCATGGACGTGATGGTGTTTCATGAAGCATCAGGCTTTCTTTCTGTGGGGTTGTCTATATGTTCTGCATGTCTCGCATGAAGCCACCATTTATTTAATTTCGCCGACATTCCTGGCCAGTATAGACATTCCCTGGCTCGACGAAGACATGACTCTGTGCCCAAGTGCGACGAGTGTATTTTCTTGTTCATCTCTCTTCTCAATCTCAGGGGTATGACAATTCTTTGCCCTCTAAATATCAGTCCATCTTGTACTGTTACATCATCCCGCATACTGAAATATGGTGTAATCTGTATTGGTAGACACTTTCTCTCTTTTGGCCATCCTTGAATTATTGTCTGCTTGAGCATCTGTAGTGATTCATCTTCGTCGGTTCTTTTCTGAATGTCTTCAAGTTTCTTGCTGGAGATTGGCAGGAACTTGGCCATGTTGACATTCTCGAATTCAGCTCCTGACGGATGATCCGTTGTAGGCAGAACGGCTCTCGATAACGTGTCAGCTATATGCATGCGTGTTCCTTGCTGGTATCTCACTTCGAAATCGTTCTTTTGAAGCCTCATCATTATCCTTTGCAAGTGCCTCGGAGCACTGGCAAGGGGCTTTCAGAGGATGGCTTGCAAAGGCTTGTGATCACTCTGAATCTAATTAACATGTCTCCCAAACACATACTGATTTAATTTCTTCAGAGAATACACAATTGCCAGCATCTCTTTTTCTATCTGCGCATACATTGTTCTGTTTCGGTAAGAGCGCGGCTTATATATACAACGGGTTTCCCTTGCTGCAACAGGGTTGCTCCCAAACCTTTCTGACTTGCATCACACTGGATCTCTAACTCGCTTTCTGGGTTGTAGTAGCTTAACACAGGAGCTTCAGTGAGCAGTTTCTTTACGTCTTCGAACGCTTTTTCTTGCTCTTTAGCCCATATCCAGTCTGTATCCTTTCGAGTAAGCCTGCGGATTGGTTCCATGACGTCTGCTAATTTTGGTAGGAATTTCGCCAAGTAATTTACGAAGCTATTCAGCCGCTGTACGGCTTCTACGTCGGTCGGACGAGGCATCTCTTTCACTGCTTCGACTTTGTCGGGATCTATCTTGATGCCTTCGCTGGAAAAGATGTGACCCATATATGATACAATCTTTGAGGCGTAATTTTAATTTAGATTGTCTGAGTTGAGTGCAACTCCGCTTTCCTTGTATCTCTCCAACAGGCACTTCCATTTCTTGTCATGATCGGCATTGGCATTTTCTTCTGTTGTCCCGACTCCATAGACGAGAATATCGTCAGTAATGTCCAGAATTCCGTCTAGACGATCTAGGACTTGGTGAACTCTTTTCTGAAAAATTTTCGAGGAGACTGATAGCCCAAAAGGTAGTACCACCTGCTTATTTAGGAATTTCAAAAACAGGTCTAAATCAACTTTCTCATCATCCATATAAGATATCTCCAATTCCCATTTCTCACATATCTCAGGAGGGAGTTTCATTTCGAATACTGGGAGGAGTATACAGGCATGATTTTTGGCATTCACTCAATCCTTCTAGTGCTCTGATTCTATTCTTTAGAGTGTCATGTAACTCACGGAGTGATGCTGCCTCTGCATCTGCTCTAGGTTCAAATATTATAATTGACTTAACTAATGACGAAATAACAAGTCGCTTTCTGCCAAATCGACGCTTAAGAGTGTCAACAGCATGGTTATAATTTGCCCCAGTAACTTCAAACGTATCTATGGTTTGATATGCAACACCTCCCAAAACTGAGCGAAAGTATGTAAACTTTTGTACGTCTGGGAGCCTCTCGTTATTATGGACTGCTGCTTCAAACTGATCCCAGAAATTTTGAAATTTCATAGCATCGCCATAAAATTTCGGTAACTCAAGTTTAGGCAACTTCAAATTTAATTACAAATTGTCTGATGTGGATGTCGCTGAATTATTACTTTCATTGTTTTTTGATAAGTAAGCCTGTGCAAGGTCTATAACCTCATCCACGTAATTTAAATAATTTATCCAGGCTCTAGCCTCATCCTCAACTTCATGTTCAGAAAGAAAAGCAATAAGTTCAGCTCGAATGTCAACACACTGTTCTCTGTAATGATTTAATTTTGACAATCGGTTTTCCATTTTAATAGTGTCTCTTTCTGGGCTCTTATTTAGCTGATTTATTGATTCACTAACAGTTTCAATGTCAAGTTTAAGTAGTTTTTCCTTTCTCCTAATTAGGTCTAAAACATGGTTATTAGTGCATACCGCCTTTTCACTTCCGGTCGCTATTATTTCTTCGACATCTGCAGTTTTCTCATCAGCTGCTTCCTTTGCTAAAACTGCGGCAAGTTTTCGTTCCAAATTGTCTCTTTTTCCTTTCGTAGATAATCCTCGAAGTTTAAGTTCATATTTAATCTTCTGTATACTAAATCTCGTAGGTCAGCCATAATTCAAATACGTAAATCCAGTTATATGTCTTAAATCATTAATACATTATCGAATCTTGTTTACCATCGAGAATACAACGCTTTTACAGGCTAATCCAAATTCTTATCTAGGACCGTAAATATTTGATTTAACACAACTTTATTATGTTCGATCTTGAAATGCGAGAAATACAATGAGAAATACAAGAATTACAAGCAATACGAGCAATACAGGAAATACGAGAAATGCAAAATTGCAACAACAACGTGTTAGCCCGCATTTCCGGCAGGAAACAGGCTAAGTTTTAGGTTTATAAGTCCAGTCTCCCGCGCGGCTTAATTATCCGACCTGACCGAGAGGCAGTGGCGTAACTCCTATGAGCTCTACCCGGTAAGAGCCGGGAGGACCCAGGCAAACGGGCTTCCAGGGGGGCACCCTGAACTAAATTGTTCTGTTTCTTAGTTTAATTTAATTACTGTGTATATAATGTGGTAAATGTGCCTAGCAGTATTAGACAGTATTATAGATTTAATATGAAATCCAATAGCAAAAATTTGTGTTAAATCGATAATTGGAAGGGGCAGATATTCATATATTCGTGTTCTGCCCAATTAATTTCTTTTGAAATCGATTGTTTTTACAGTCTGTGAACACGAATATTTGAATGTCTGCCCCTGCAATTATCGATATTCCAGCATCTCTGTATTTATACGCGTACTAAAGCAGCTCGTATTAATTCGTCAGATTCTACTTGGTCTTGGAAATATTATATATTCTAGCTGTAGGGAGTGTAGGCTATGTCTTAAAAATGCTTTGTGGTTTGAATTTATACGCGTACTTAAGCAGCTTCATATGTAGCCGTGTGAGAAAACAATTAAGAAACAGCGTTAGAGACTGGGACTGAGTAGTCAGCGGTAATGTTGTACAAACGGGCTCAGTTATATAGTATAGCGCTTGTTTAAAAAGATAAAATAACGAACACATGTTTTGTAAAAGTTTTATTAAAATACTCCTTTAAAAGTGAATAAAATGTAACACAAAAATAACTCGGAGTACGGAGTAACACATAATCATTAACATGCACGCAAGTACTCAATGAGACGCATATGTTCAAACTGGTCCAAACTTACGCCACTGCCGAGAGGTTTGGGTCCTAACATCTGGCTATACATTCGATAACCGCGTTTGCGATTCAACAATAAGAACGCGATATACTGGTAATATACAGGAACCTGACTTGGAAACATACGAATGAAAAATCGCGTCAAGCAGCTAAATTTTGTGATGATTTTACACGAAATTGTAGCTCTTTCACTATACGAATTTGTATAGAAAATACTGCGCTAATTCTACAGTATTTGAATAAATAAATACTGTAGATTGGAATATAGGTTAGAGATCCTTGCACGGGATATTTCTGTGCCTTTATGAAAAATGTGTAAGTTAAAAAGGTGTGTTTGTTCCAAAGGCGTGCTTAATTAGCACATCTTTTTGGAGGGGGTTACAAAAGCAGACCTTTCATCAAAGGTGTGTTATTTTAAGGTGTGTTATTTGGGGGCACAAAAAAAGATGTGTTAGTACAAATCGTTCGATTTGAGACCAAATTGTACGACACGAAGTGCAATAACCATTATTAATTTGTATATCATCGTCACATAAACCGTTGAAATATGGCGCAATGCTGTGAATCGAAGAATTAGAGAACATGGTACGGTGTTTGCAATTTCTCTCAGTTGCCGATTGCAGAAATATTTAGTTCAGTGTTTGCTTGGTTTAATTTAGTGCGTATTCTTTATCTTCTTTTGTTGCCATAGTGGCAGTAGTGCGGTATTCTTATATAAAGCTCAAGTAGTTGAACGCCAACATTACACTACGTATATATTAACAGACTTTGTTTTGCAGCCAGCGATTGAGACGAACCACCTACTTTATTCTCAGATGTTGTAATTGACAACGTGGTGTTATATAATTCATTGTTCATTGTTAAAGCCTAATCTCGCGTTGTTGAACCAAATTTCACACATCTCCGTCACCCGGACATAAAATGATGGGTATATCGATCGAGTTAGACATACCTGCTGGTTCAACGCTCTGTGCTATTAATGAAGATGACCTAGCTACCGGCTAACGGAAACAACCAAAATTTTCTATTTCACTTGCAGTATGTAATCGAAGGTGTACGCGGTGACGGTTCTGAGGGAGACATTGCAATTGATGACATTTATCTCATGGATCTGTGTACTACAAGAGGTATGTCACTTTTGTATTAGCTACAATTTTGAATAACTTAATTATACCGTGAAAAAATTATACATCGTTAAGATTGCATAATGAAAATTGATAATCGTTAAGATTAATCGTTAATTTTGTTTGCCACAGTCACATTTCTTGTACTGTAGCTGATAGCAACACTTGTTTTGTGGTGTCTGCCCCTGATGTGACGTGAAAGTATCGACATCCATTACGTAGTAGTGTTGACCTTTTATTGTCATGTCCTAGTGTCAAAACTTAATATGTGGCGCCGATCCTCTCTTCTATTGATTGTTTTGCTCAAACCTGCCCAGTCTTTAACTAAATATATATATATATATATATATATATATATATATATATATATATATATATATATATATAGTACAATCTGCAGACATGCATGTTTCGGCGTCAACGCCTCGTCAGTGCAGCTTGGTACACGTCTAGATACGTGAGACACTGTATTTATACCCCATGAACTTGCTCTCACCAAGGCATGTGGTACAACACGGTGGCTCAACGCATCCAGACATGCGCAGAGCGTAATGGAGCCAGAGTGCTCAAACGACCACAAGGGAAGTGAGCTTTGTATATATATATATATATATATATGTGTGTGTGTGTGTGTAAAGCTAGGCACTCTGAAGAAGGCTGTGGCATGCAGCCGAAAATTTAGTATTTGTATCTAATATACCTTTTTTTAATAAACTTCTTCAAACGTAGCCGTTCTGTTTGTTACATTTGAAGTCTTGCCGGCTGAGCAGAGTACTGGCATTTGTCATATATATATATATATATATATATATATATATATATATATATATATATATATATATATATATATATATATATATATATATATATATATATATATATTTATATATATATATATATATAGAATTAGGTTTCGTTGTTTACAAAAACATTTGACAGAGTGCTCAATGGATATCCAGACCATAATTAAATAAGTGCAACGACTCAACAAATTATAAATATATTTAATATATTTATATATATATATATATATATATATATATATATATAATATATATTATATATATTATTATTATTAAAAGTTTTATTTCAACACGGTAATTACATCAAAGAGAAAACATATTTACATATTTACATCCTTGTTCTTCCCGTAAGCCGTGCATACATGCATTAATTTAATTATATTAAATATATATCAGTGATTAGAGAACAGAGAGTTGATGTGTAGCTAATTTATCTTTAAAACGTTTCAAAGATGTTTCTGTCTTAAGATCATTTGGCAAAGTGTTCCAGTTTTGGGCGATTTTAGGTGATTGAAGTAAAAACTGGGACTTTCAAGCACTGCGATTTAACTCAATTCGATCCGCCAATATTAATTTCAGACGTATATGACGGGAATATTAAATATTAAAGAACTTCGCGAGTATTTGCAGTAGACATACGAAAATACCACAAAAAAATTCCGCTTGATCGATACTATATATTCAGAGATATTCATATAATTTTATTGTTTCTCGCTCAATTTCAAGCGAATTTCTTACCTTGAAATGATCAATGCGGTGAAATTTATGCAAATGACACATTATCAATTTTGCTGTTGCATTTTGAATGTTCCGCTTGATTCAAATGCTCCAACCTCGTCCCCAGGGTCTTTCTCGTGGTGGCGCGTGAGCTGAGGAAGACCCTGGTAAAATACGATGAAATCTCCAAGATTCTTGGAGATTTATCGCATGCGCAGTAACGAAAACGTTATGTTGCTGACTACAATTAGCGCTGGCGCTTACGATTTTCTTGCTTAAAAATATGCATGTTTTGTTGATTGTTTATGTATTTATTCTCAAAGTTTTAACAAATTTTACGAAAAATACTTCAGATATAAGCTGTAAACACACATGTACACAAAACTGTGCAACATTCATCATCATATTGTATCAATTTGTCGGAGTATGGCGCTCATATTTGTGACATTGTTTTGTTGGCTTTGGCACCCTCGTACTGTATATATCAGATGCTGTTCGGCCTCAAATGCGACTGAATAAACACTGATAGTGTTGCCTGGAATATGAAATGATAATGACTGATTATTCTGTATATCAAGGTATGTACTGTACGTTTATACTGAATTTATTTTCACACAGAAAGACTCTATATTTTCTCATCAAATCTGATTATCGTTACAAGTAACAGTAGAAATGCTTCAAAATTTATTCTGTATGTAAAGCAGGCCAGCATGTTTCATTTTGCTTTGGTGGTAGTCACCACTCACCAAGTCAAATAGGCCATATATTCCATTTAATACCCCCATTGAGGTCTGGATATCCTATATGGGGATTTTAGAGATGGGGTTTTTACCTTAAATTTTTCGGGAGGGTAGCTCAAGAGATTTCCTAAAAATTAGGTGTTTTAGTGATCTCCATAGGGGCAGGAACAATATCCTAAAGAGGTAGAAAGATATCTATAGGGGTTCCAAAATTGCATCCAATGGGGTTCCAACTTTTAAGGTATTATGAAGAGACCCCTCAACAGGGTGTGTGTGTGGGGGGGGGAGCCTATATTAGATGGAATGGCCCAGTGTGCTGCAACAACTTTTAAAATTTGTATATATGTTTTTAAGGCACAATATGTGATGGAGTTTGATATGATGATCAGCACAACCTGAAGGTCTTGACTGAATGAACAACTTAACTGATATACTCCTAGCTCCTATACTTTGTTGTATATTATTACCAGCTCAGATGTCAGTTGGATCACTTTGAATGAACATTGGAGTGGCACAATAAAGTGTCTGTGTTAGGGAGGAGTCTATAAGGACTGAAGTAAAAGGCACACTTTTGGATATTTGAATCATAGCAACTACATATAGTGTAGGTGTCAAATAAAGTTTGAACAATGTACAACTGAAAATAAAGATGTATTTAATTTGAAACACTTAAAGGAATTACAACATATTATATGATAGGCATATGTACATGATTATAGGTATATTCATTAGTTTTACTAGCTGATATTTATGACATCCTGGGTGACAACATTTATTTTTCCCAAGAGATTTTACTTGCATGATAGTAATAAGTTTAATAGTAACGGAGAAGTGTGATGGATATGTGAAAGTAATTATCATTAGAAATACAAATATTAAAACTGTAATTTTGACCATTGTAAATGTATTATTAAAGAAACAAAATACAAAAGTCAAACAAGGTTATTTAGCATAATACAGTCATAATACTAAACTGGTTATTATTTAAATAACTACTGAATAGAGGGATCATGAAAATGTTCTAAGATTACTATCATAGCTCTGTAACAGGGAAAGGTGTTTATTGAGTTTCTTCACCTTGATGAACAAAATCATATAGCATTAGAAAACTATAATGCCATCAACTATTTCCCATTTAAAAATTTTCATGTTGGTCACTGTGAAATATAATCTTGAGTCCATCTTAATGAGTGTTTACTATCTGATTGATGACATGATTTAATATATATATTTCCATGGAATTCAAGTTGGCTTTTTCCCAAGTTCATGTAAAATATGGTTCACCTGTTAAAATAATAAAATGTTTATTAGTTGTTTTGTAACAGAACGGTACCTGCTTTAAA